TATGGAGCTTTTAAAACTGTAGTGCAACCTCCTCATGTTTATAAATTAAGGTATACCCTTTACCTCAAATGCATGTCAGTTTGTAATGTATGTGCCTTAGCAACTGGTTCCAAGAGAATTTTGCACATGAGGAGTTCCATAAAATAAATAGTTTATGTTCTTATGCTTTTCAGGTGCTTTTTCACTGCTGACTGTGACATTTTGACACCTGACACCATGCATAGTGACTTAGCCCTGGATGAAATCAATATTCTGACCTGTCCAAGGACTGTTAAATCTAAACCCCACACCTGAAAGCAGATTTCTAATGGGCAGAAGGGGAAAACTGCTCTGCTGTGCAGAAAGCAGTGATCTTGGTACCTGTGATTGGTGGGTGGGTCAAGGTTTTGAACTAATCTGGGACTTAGTACTGTACCTACCTTGTGTGGGTGTGCCTATTGACTTCATACTTAGGTGGATACACTGTTACTGCCTTCATAAAACTGTGTGATAAACCCTGTCCAAGGAGCCTACAGAACCCAGAGACTTAATACATGTTGATAGAGAATGTCTTTATCTGTCAAGGGTGTACCCAGACTGGGCAGGGTAGAGGATCTGGAACATTTTCTTGGCCTTTGTCCAAGGCTGTCCCTCCTTTACAGTTTTCACTGCCATTCAGCCACCAGTTTTGTCCGAGCACACAAACCGCATAGTTTTAGCCAAGCTGCAAACCTGAGCTGAACTTGTCTTGTCGATTCCAGCTGCTTTTAAACTTCATTACCTTTCACGGCACTTTGGTTGCTGCTGGTAGCTTGAAAACATGTAAGATGTTGTTAACGTTCTTTTCACTTGTGAGAGTGTCCTTCACTGCAGTGAAACAAATTTCTTTTTCACAAAACATAATCCGCATACGTGTCTTGTTCTCAGATGCTGGTGTTGTATCAGTTACACCTTGAAGTATGCATTTGTTCTTAAATAGCATGTGTAACACCACTGAGCGCAGGAAAAATACAACAAAAAATAATACTTCATAGAATTGTGAGGTTAAAATGGGATCTGTCTCTTCACTCCAACATCATATATATGTCCATTTTTAAAATGTATAAAACCTTAACATCAGCAATTCCTGGACATTCACAACGCAGTTTATGTGTGCATCCCCTACATGAAGTCGGAGGAATGAGCCCTGTGAATGAGCCCAGGCTGTTCTAACTGTGTTTTTGTTGGTGCGGTGAGAATCTGGTGAAAGAGAGCATGCGGCTGGTTTTTGTGCGTGTAATCCAGGGTGAGGTCAGTGCGCGTCCCCTGAGCCACACTGCTCGTTAGGAGGTGAAGTGGTGTAGCTGAGGGTGTAGACTGTGGGAGTCTAGACTTCCTTTGCCTGCTCATTATTACGGCTTTGTCGTCTAGCACTGGTATGGAGGGGTGGGGGTGGGGACCGAAATAAAGGAGTCAGTTATTGTGTTTTGTTTTCGTTCCCCCCCCCAATCGTGTCGAGTTGGCAGCGTCTCCAAAATATTTCAGTACATTTCACAGAGTAGGAAACGCTGCTCCAGCTGTCCTCTCAGGTGATCTTCTGAAAAAAGTATCGTGCCACATGCTCTGTCCATTACTGTTGCACGCATGGTTATGGGATTCTTCTCTGTGGACTATAGCTGCATTTGGGTTGTTTTCCAGGTGGCTCTGTGCATTTAGAAGAACATTTTTGATTATTTGCTTGGTAAATACCCACGTCTAGATCAAAAACCCTAAATTTTGGATCTGTCAGATATTTGACCTTTCCCCTAAGAAATCATAAATAACTTGTACTCTGTGACTTTAAAGACAGAAAACAATAACAAATACATGTTGTTTGTTAAATTAATGGTTCGGTTAGTAGATTAATTAAACAATTGGGAGTGTGATGAAATGAAATCCAGCAAATATTTAGGTCACCAAGACCAGGACTGTAAAGCCCTGCTTTAATTGCAGTTATGAAGGAATGATTCTGTACTTCTGTACTTTATGTACCAAGTATTATACTTCATAAAGGATTGTAACAAATACTGAAGTAGGTTTTTTATAATTAAAAGAGCTATCTAACATCTAGGTACACTGTAGTGTTCAGCTTTATACCAAAACCAATATAAATGTTGAACCAAGAAAGCCACACACCAAGATATAGAGTAACATCTGGTTTCTGGTCAAGTTTGTTGTACAATACTTTTGCAACTGATGAGGGGGAGGATGTAAAGTTGGGGTATGAAGCAGGATACTCTTTTGGAAATATGTTATGTGTTGGAAATAACGTGGAATTTATTCAATTCAAATTATTTTTATATAGTGCCTTTCACAACAAGGTTGCCCCAAGGCGCTTAACAAAGCAAGTGACCATGCATGTTGTGAATCCAGAACAGAAGACCAGAAGGCAATGGAGGAGAGGAAACAGAAACCTCTTAGTAAGGGGAAAAGAAACCTCTAGGGGTCCAAGGTCAACTAGCTGCCAAACCCCAACATTATACAATTAAAAAAAAGGAAAAAAATGAATAAAGGTATTAATCCATCCATCATGTCTTCTGTGTGTCAGTACTTCATGCAGATTGCTGTAGACCAGCAAAATCCTCCTAAACGATAGCTATATCCACGATGTCCCGCTTGGATCCAAGGCAGTGGTGCAGCATCCAGCCCATGCGTCATCCGGACATGTGGGGAGGAGAATAGGATAGTCTGGTCAGAACAGATGTATCTACCTGGTGGGCCAACACAGAGACACACAATGGCAGGTACAGCAGGCTATGATGTAAGGTGTGAGTAGGTAATAGGTCTTCAGTCTGGATTTGAATACTGAGATTGACTCGGCATCCCGAACATGGGGTGGGAGACTGTTCTGCAAGCTAGGGGCCATGTATCTAAAGGCTTTACCGCCAACTGTATTTTTATTAATGCGTTGAATATGAAGAAGACCTGCATTCTGTGATCTAAGCGGGCGACTTGGATTGCATACATTAATAAGTTCCATTAGATAGATAGGCGCCTGACCTCTGAAAGCCTTATAAAAAGAAGGATTTTGAATTTAGCCAATTAAGATGAGCCTTTTTGGTTCCTAAATTGTTTGAAAATCCTCTGACATGATTTAAGCCATGTGTACAGCCATGACTGTGTAGCAGTTGCTATCTGAGTGTACTGTATAGCCATGGCACTGTGCTGGGATTCCCTGCGACCCCTTTCATCGATTGAAGAGCCCTGTAGCTGTTTTACCCAAAGCCTTTACTTCAATAGTAGTGCCCTAAAGCTGATGTGACACAATCCATGGTGCTGCTATTTAATCTGTGGTTGTGCAGAAGTTTGTAGCAGCAAAAATAATGTGCATTTGTTAGTCCTGCGTGCTCTGTAAAAGGTCACTTAATACTTGCAGTGACCTAAAAAATGACAAATCAAACTTTTTATTTTTCTAGCACAGTCTTCAAAGTTTTTTTGAAGACATTAGTGACTTTTGTTGTAAATCTGTCATTTTAACAAAGGCAAAATCAGGTTGTATTTGCATCAATATCCACCTAATATATTCAGATGGCTTTCTGAATATTTCTGTTACTATTGCTTTAAAGTGGTAACCTATAAAACCTTTTTATTTGAATTTCAAGTTAGTTCTTCACTGTTTCATATCTCACAATGTTTAATTCTCCAATCAGTCAATCTTATTCAGGTGTAGTGTATGCAGCTATCACAAAAATAAACCAGTAGGGCAACAGGATTCAAGCACCAAGAGCAAATGTTAATGGACAGATTGGAGTTCTCTGAAACTGTAGAAACATAGAGTAAAGATTACACAAGTTCATGCTACCAAACAGTGGGAACTGATACTGATTTATATTAGTAAAACAGTGTTTCATCACAATAAAGACTCATTAGAAAGAACTTGCATTATATACAGTATGTTAATATAAGCAATAGATTAGTTTTCTTCATACCATTAAACACTGTAAATTATTTATATTAATTTTTACCATTTGAGTTTAAAACGTAGAAAATGAACAAGAAGTGATTAGTTATATAGGGCACATCATGTTGTTAAGCATTTAATGAGCACCTACAGCTGGTCATTAATTACAGCGAATCCTTTACTTTATTAATAGGGTGACAGTAAAATGATCTAGGATTGACAGCACATTCGAATTTTGCAAGACTCATCTACAGTATACAAAACATAGTACTATAGGATATAGCTAAAGAGGCCACATTCCTTAACAAATTTACCCGATTAAAAATAGGTGCCAATTTAATTGGCTGGGTGCCTGGGTCTCTGAAATTTTATTAGTGATGCATCCCTGCTTGAATGATCTCTGAGTGTTCGGAAAACTTTTTACGCCCGCCACGTTTCAACACTGTGACAAAAACAGATTGTGTTAAATATTTTGAAACCTTATTAGTAATGCACTAAAAAGCATGGTTTCTAATTGAGAATTTCACTAGCGCAACACAGTTTCTGGTATGGGATGTCATGATACTAGTCAGCTTTTTTTTTCTAAAATACTGTCGAATGAAAGGGCCATCTCCCTCATGTTTGTATGGCTTATTTGATGTGCTCTTTTCACCTTATTTTCAATTTTCCCCTGGCTCTTTATGCTGACAGCCCATAAACACGTAGTCTTCCATGGCTAGAAAAGGTCAGGATAAATCCCCATATTATTTGAATTCCTTTTTGTGTCTCTCTTATTTAAATTTGTATCAATTACAGCTGTGCAGCCGGTACAAAGTTCTTCATACAGAAAATAAAGGCTACAAAAATCAAGCATGTTCGAGGTATTTTTAATTCAATCTTCAATGTTAAGGGTAGATGTAATATGGATGAGCCAGGGCTTTAAAAGACAGTGCCTACACAGATGTGTCCGGTGTCACATGTGGAGCGAATCCCCTTGTCCCAGCAGAGCTGGCATTTTCCCTCCGGCTGGTCTTGGGGGACCCTGGGGCCCAGCCCGTGAGCACGAGGTGCACTTGCCATAAACATGGCCGCTCACGCTTCCCCCCGCCCTCTTGTCTTGCAGGAGAACGGCCGTTTCCCTGCACCTGGCCCGACTGCAGCAAGAAGTTCGCCCGCTCGGACGAGCTCGCCCGCCACTACCGCACCCACACGGGCGAGAAGAAGTTTGGCTGCCCTCTCTGCGAGAAGCGCTTCATGCGCAGCGACCACCTGATGAAGCACGCCCGCCGCCACTCCGACTTCCAGCCCGGCATGCTCAAGAGGCCCTACGGCGCCGGCGCCCGCACGGGCTCCCTCAGTGACTACAGCCGCTCGGACGCTTCCAGCCCCACCCTCAGCCCCGCCAGCTCGCCTTAAACCCCGCTTGCACTGGACGCCCGCACTTTCAGCCTCCGCCAGATGCCCCCAAGTCTTGTGGAATTCTCTTCCTTATACCTGTGTTGCACACTTGTTAGTGCCCCTATGCTAATTGCTGTACCGTACTGTGCTGTACTGTACATAGCTGCCTATTGTAGTGCAATTTCTCGGACACCTTTGCTCAAGAAACCTTCCCAGCCAGTGATTCTATATCCGATATGTCTGTATTTTTGTAGCTTCTGGCCATTGCCAGGTTATTATCTATAGTGTTTTTATTTTATTTCTTTTCTTTTTAGCAACTTGTTTCAGGAAAAAAAAAATGTCAAAAGTATATTGATTATTCTTCACCTTTATTTAAGACGGGGAAAAAAAGATCACATCTACACCTCAGGATTCAAGACCGATTTTTGTTTTCTTAACTACTTAACTGACTGCACAATACAAGCATCACTTTACTCTGAAATTCAACGCAGTTGAATTTTACGCCCTGCTCAGGGAAGGCCTCATTAGCTTGAAAGAATGAACGCAATGAAGATACACACATAAAAAAACAGCCTTACACTCAACAATATTTGCACTCTTTTTTGTATATTTTTTGTTAGTTTTCACACTGGGGGGAAACTAGCACTGGAATTACAGTAAAGTAAGCCCAAGGGTTTTTTTTTTCTGTCTCTACCAGAACCTATAATTAAGACAATAGTGGAGGACATTGAAATGAAAGACCACTTGCTGTTTCTTTTGAGACTGGAAATGACACACAGAAAATATTTCTCCTGTTTTCATTTTATCAAGAAAAAAAATCTTTCTGATCTCCATTCACGCAGCAAGCTGTTGGCAACCAAACCACAGCACCTTGAAAGAGATCTACATACTGTACAGTCTGTTTTTTTTTAAAGGGAAATGGGTCTTTTTGCTGTTTGAGTTTGGGCGATTACAGCACTGCATGTGTTGTAGCTTCCTATTTCTCTTAACCTCCCTCTCCAACATGAATAAATGGTGTAGAAGTGGTTTGTATGTTGGAAAAAAACAGGACTCAACAGAGTCAGAGAAAAAGTTTTGAAGCAGCTGTTTCATAGTTTAAGAACAAGACTTTAATCTGCAGATGTTTCATAGTGCGAATTATGTAGTATTTAAGCATCAGTGCTGGTGTTTTATGGTATGCTAATGGATCGCTCTTTTCTTCAGAACACAGGTCAAATCTTATCTTATCCAAGCGGGTTCATCATTTCATTCATTCTAATGTAAAAAGCCTAGATGAGGCCAAAAACGAACATAGTTTAAAGTGAAGAAGTGTGATTAGTAAGAAATTATACTGTCATAAAATATACCTTTCTTAAAGTTTCTTAGGTAATTAAGTCACTATTCATTCGAAAGGATTCCAAAGCCTAGTCTAACTCGACATACCTCCGAAAGAAAGATTTTAAAGTTCTAATCTATACAAGAATAATCCAGAACTACCATTTACTTCTCTGCCCAGTGTGCTGGGAGACCGAATAGTATCTTCAAGTCTCGCAGGTGTTCAATTAAACCAGTCATAACACAGATCCTTCTGTTTTGACCACTCTCCAAAACAAACTGCAAGTCTCCTCTGCATGGTGTAGACCTCGCACTAGGAAATATTTGGCTCCCACAAGAGATTATTTTTAGTATGCAGGAGGGGCTGAAAAATGCCACTTTAGTGAAAGTTTCCTTGCCTTTCCTGCACAACCTGTCTGAGAGAAAAAGTGTCTAATTTATGTTGAGAAAAAAGACAGAATTAGGGCAATCATTTCTGTAGATGGAAACAGGGGTTTTAATTTAGATTATTACAAACCTAGTGTGAGATTTATTTGTAAACTGCAAAAATTAAATCAAATTGTGTGTCAGAGGATTCTTGTACAAGCCGGGAAATATACATTTAATTATGGATGGTTCTCTAGTGTATCTGAGGAAGTTTAAAACAATAAGCCCAATGTAAATATTAGTGACTTTCTAAGTAGAGCCCTTTTAAGTTTCTTAAGGGTAAAACAAAGATAACACTCCTAGTAGGTTTCCATTGTTAAAGGTCACGCCTGCTATTTCAGTCTATTTGAATCACCAAGATGTAATAAACACAAAAACGCACATATAGAATACAGCACCATAGCACAGGCTGTGCAGGTGGGTCTCTAGAACTGCCATATGGGTTGTGGCCTGAGTGCCACAGCTATCTGCACAAGCCGGGAATTGTGAGTCGATGTGGCAAAAACAAGATAGCAGGCTGTGCACAGACATGCAAGCTACTCCGCTCCACAGGAGCAACAGGCAAAAAGGTTTGGAGGTCTAAAACTCACCCCCTTACTTATTACTTGAAGCAGCAGAATGAAGGAAAAAACATGTACATGTTTTGATACACAGGAAGTGCTTTGCTACAAAGTCTACTGATTTTCCTCTTGCAGAAATTGGTGCAAAACGAAACCTCCTTAATAAACCTCCCTAAGTGCATAAGAGTTCTGTGTGCTTGATGTGTCCTAGGGATCAGAAAACGAAGGGCGAACTCTCTGAAAAAAGTGTATCTGACTTTCCTTGTCACGTTCCCTGTCTCAGAGCAGAGGAAGGTGTATTCCAAGCTGTAAAGGAATATTTGGTGAAAGACGCCCTACCAAAACCCTTCTAAAATAATCCATCTTAAACTAAAATAAAACATTCATAGGCTCTGTAAACCTAATATATTAGAATTTGACATTATCTTTCTGTTTCTGTAATTCCACAGTTCTGACATTTCAAATGGTCTTGCCACTTTTAGGAAAAGGGACATTTTGAAGCATAATTAATCAGAAAAAAGACCAAAAGGTTGGAATTGTGGTGTTCTGCTAAAACAATTACATTTGAAATATCATTATTTAATTGCTTACAGGACATCTGAGTTTTTCCCCTGACTTTATTATCACACAGCATACTTCATTACAGCAGTAAGGTGAGATCTCCTTGTAATAACATTTATTCTAATTATTTATGAAGTAAGTGCCATATTCACAGTGCTCTCAGACAGACAGAATCAATCACAACAGCATTAGGGACTACAGTGAGGTGCTTTTTATAAGCAGAAAGCAGAAAGGTTCACTCCCACCTCATTGTTTACTTGTAAAAGTTGCTGCTTTTCAGTAAAATGTGTCAGCTTGTTACAGTTTCAAAACTACTAAACAGCTGCTTTTCAACTTTTTTTCCTCCTCTTTTTCCAACAGGATTTAGGGAGGGCAAGAATACCAACCTTTTGTTGAAATAAATGGAGTTGTAAGTTAAGACATATCAATCTGGGGGAGGGAGGGGTGGATCGGGAATATTCTACCCCTGCATATCTGCAGAGGATCTTTGCTGTTATGGTTGAGATTTTACTGAGGAAGACTACAGTGTGTCCCCTTGTCTATGGCAGAGGTAGAATGTCCTGTGCAGGAAGGCACACAGGAGCAGCCCTGCTTCACAGTTTGGACACAGGTCTTAAGATATTTGCATGGCCTGGTGGTCTACACCTGTGCATGACAAATGTTCAAAGCAGTGCATTCAGCTGCAGTGCTTTCTCTCGACAAAAACGTTGTTTTCTCGTATGGGAACAGGGTCTGAAAGACTGTCAGCATGTACACGCACGTACTTAGTATGCCTCAAGTCCTCCTTGGGGTATCCAAGGCAATAAGGCAGTGACACGTGTGAGATTGTAGTTTGCTTTGGAAAGACTGTTTTCTGGTCCCTTAGCCATTCTCCTTTGCTCCTGCATGGAGAGGAGTGCCCAAGTGGGGAAAAGAAGCCCCACTGTAAACTTGGAAGACTGATTCCAGGAGAAAGGAGGCAGCTGGACGGCTGTGAATGGCCTGCCTTGTCTTTCTGCCTGTCCATTGGGCCTCTCTTCTGAGCCTCCGCAAGGCACATAGTCAGCTTTTCTTATTAATAAAGAAAACAGCCCTTACAAAAATATATTGTACCGTCAAAACAGCATTAATACAATAAACCACATATAAAGCCTTTCCACTATTAACTTACACTCTTAAATTATTTACAGACTGCAATATGAAACTTGGATTTCTGCTGCTTTACCTCCAGGATTCAAAGTGAGAAAATAAAAACTCAGCTGGTCGTTTCTCTTCTTTAAGGTCATTCAGCCTGAATGGTTAACTAAATCCCACAAAGACTTGCCAGTATATATTCACCCTGTGTGGCTAAATCCGCTCTTTTATTGGTTTCTTATCGCTTCAGCTGTGGTGCTGGAAAGTAGAATTTTGCTTTGCGTTACGTTGCAGAAAATCCATTTAAACATTCTATTACATATTTAATAGCTTAAATTACAGTAAGTGTAGAGTACGTTTAAATAAGACATACATTAAATGTAAAAATTAGAGGAAAGCCCTCTTAGTGTTTTACTTTGCAGTACTTTTGTGTCCCATTGCCTTACCTAGTCAGGATAACAAATTTTTAAATCAGCAACCAGAACACACTTACCTCAGGGCATGCATAAACAGGATTTACTTGGACATTGAAATATATTTTTAGGATTCGCTTTTTTTTTAGGATCTAGTGCAGAGAAGCCTTCCTGTAATTTCCTCTATTGGAGCAGTTCTAATAAACCTGTCCCTCCGATCTCTTGAACACTTGTCCCATGACTGCAGGACAGCATGGGAAGGTCACCCCAAAACTCTTAAGGTGATGATTTCAATCCCTGGGTCATCTCAGGATGTTAGGAAGTCTGTTATAAAACTGCAGTACTAGAGCAGACTTGTCTAGAGACACAGGCCGTCATTAAATCAGAATTTCTAAACACCCAACAAGTGCAAATTACAAATCCTCCTTACCTAATTAAAACCCACCATGAAGTCCTGAAGCATTTGTAATTTGTGATTTGCAGGTGTGCAATTTAATCTGGAGCCCAAATATAGAATTAATCTATAATTAAGACGATAAGTGTTCTTTTTCCTTATTTTTTAAAACCTTTTCTAGGAAAATGCTGAGAATATGTGCAGGGGCATATGCGACACCAGGAGTGGTGGCCTGTATTCATTAAGCACCACATGCAGTAAAGCCTGTCTTTTTTTAAAAACACATTCCCAACGATATATGAAATCAAAAAGCAAGACTGAAACAATGGGGATTCTTAAATGTATCACTGTGAAAGATTTGAGCTGAGGTTCGCTTTGAATGCCTTTGAAGTGTCACGGATATGTGTTAATTGTACTGTGAACACGGCTCGATATTCCAGCTCTGACCGAAATTACAGTTGGGCTCTTCTGCACAACACAAGGCTCCTCATGTTGTTTGTAAAGCATTACATCTGACCATCCACTGCCAATTTTTTGTGATAATGCTACTATCATGAAAATGCTTTAAAGCTTTCCATGCAGCATTTTAGCTCATTATTTTATTTTGTATTAAGCAATAGCACTTACAAATACTCCCAATGCTAAAGGTTTATACTATAACTGGTAGACTTTCTTCGGTGATGTAAATGTGTATTGCAGAGAATTTCTGTAGTGTAATAAATAGCAACTGTTAAGCGATTAATAATTAATTCCCAGTTATATTTTTGGGGATCCTCTTTATTTAATCATTGTTGAAATAAATTCTTTTTTAAGTGTATAAGTAAGGCCTGGGCTTCTTTTTCACTGTACCAAATCTGGGGTGATTAATGGCACGAACAACTGCTTAAGGCTTGCCCAGCTCTATCATATGCATTGTCTGGTCAAGATTATTAACTTTGACTAGAAAGTTATGGGTATTTTCATTTTTTTTTTAATGTGTTCATTTAAGTATTGTATATTCATTTATTTTATTAATTTTTAGATTGTTGTGTTCAGGTCGTGTAATAATGTGTTTTTTTATATGTCTACAGCATTATATTAATTTTCCTTTTATAGCCACTTCAATTGCTGGTGCCATTTTGGCAATGGACAAAGTAGCATCCTTTTAATTTATGTTGCATTAGGCAAAGAGTTCGTTCAGTACGGAGAACTCAAAATCTAAACTGGTTGCTGCCATGAATCATATGTGAACTAAATCCTCTCCAGCAACTAAAATTGAAGCTGAGTGTTCCTTTATAGCTTTACGACTTTTGTTCAGGGAGTGCTGAGGTGTACAATTGGGAAGGGGCAAAAAAGGGAATTCTCCTGGCTTTTAAATGCAGGCATCTCTCCTTTTTGTAAATGTATATCCGACAGCCTTGCTATGATGTATTCTACTTCATTCTGAATGTTGCTCAACCATCTTGAGACCACAGCATTGTGATGTAGTACTCTTCCCTTTTCATTCCTATTGTTTTTTTGTGTAACCCACTAGATATAAATATGGTTGTTTTTGACAGTGACCCAGGAATTACTTTTTTTTAGTTACAAGGCAGTCACCTGGCTTGAACAATACCCTAAGGCAAGATATCTACTTTTGATAACATATAAAAATGTCATATTTATACCCATGTCATGTCAGAGCCAGGGTGGTTAGTCACTCATAACTGCCAACAGTATTTGGCAATTGAATCCTAGCTACAGTAGCTGCAGGATGGTGCACTGCATTTGTCAACATTAAACTTAGATATTAAAGTTTATACATCATAAAAATTGTTTAAAAGGTTTGAAACGCAACTTTACAAAGCTTTGAGCTATAGGGTTTTGAGATTTATAAACTTAGAGGAAAATCCAGCATAAGAAAATTAATTTAAACAGGTCTTTTGCTGGAAACCAGTAACATTTTAAAACAGATTTTATATGCCCATATGTAAAATGAAAGAACACCTATCACGTGTATCCAAATATGGTGCCGTCTAAATAAATGATATGTGGTTTCGTTCGAATTAAAGAAATTTACAAAGGTGAATACCGGAGTAACTGCAGTGGTCACAGTGCATCATTTGATTTAATTGTGATTTTATCAGGTGCCAAAGCTATACAGTAAGTGTGGTCCTTTCTATTGGTAAAAAGATAATGTAAAACCGTTGCAAAAGTCCATAGATCTGTCTGAAGACATTGGCAGAAAACTAAATTGTATAGGTTTCTATATAAATTTAATGTTTCTGTGTATGTATGGGTCAGAATGAAAACAAGGTTTGTGAAAAATTCTCAAGTACCTTTATAGTTATGCTGTATTGACCTTTTATAGTTTGATTTCTTTAATTTCACGTTAATTCTACTTGTTTTCCTGTATATTATTTGGGCTCCCTTTAGATTCAGATGCTTTGAGTTTGTTAGTTTTAATTTTCTTCAGATTGAAAATGTCTCTGCTTAACTGTTCAGGAATAGTATATTGCAGTTGAGTTGTAGCACAGTTCTGGAATAAAATGTTCTGTTCACGTGAATGCCTACCCATTCCAAAGGATTTAATTGTTGTCTATATTGCTGCTTTGCATCAAACCAATGTACCAGATCTTTGAGTTTATTTATTTTTTTCAACTTGTACTGTACTTTGACTGTGATCCATTTACTTGTAATGTGTTGTAATACTTTGTGATTATTAGATTGGGTACTTTTGCATCACAAATTCAACGTTTGCTTTTCTTCTGCTACGTTTCTTAGTTTTAAAAAAATATTTCTGCCTTACATGTGATTTTCTGTTTTTGTTTTAAATCTTTCTATGTGTACTAGGCTGGTCCTTCATATTAAACAAAATAAAAACAAAACCCAGGGCTGACTTGAAAGGGATGGATGTTATGGCTGTTTAATTTGGAAATCTGCTTGCTGATTTTCTAAAATATAAGTTGAGATAATTTTTTGGTTGGTTCGTCTTTTACGTGAGGAATTTTGCTACAGTATCTTGATGTGCAGGGACATGTATGATAGAATAGTAGACTGCACATTGGAAAAGTGAAGCTTTTTTATTTTTCAGGGGTGTAAATGACTGAAGTGATGTCAGGATGATTGTCGTGGCACAATGCGCTCAGTCTTAGGTTTATTACAATTAAAAAGAGCAAATTTTCTTATATTATTTGGAATGAATTCAGGAACCAGTGAAAAGCTTCAGGAGAGGATGAGTGTTCATGTGAAATGTTTTTCATTGTCCCTTGAATATTGCCATGAAAATTTGCACAGCAATTGTATAGTGTCTTTTTCCCTTTTTGTGCTACCCTTTCAGTGATTGAACTGTGATTTGCCATGCTTTTGTTCATATCTCACCACACATTTTTGTACTTTTGTCACATTGATTCATGCATTAACCTTTCTACACTGTAATAACTTTTTATTAGGGGAAATCATCTCGTTACAACTTTTTACAGCATTGTATTTTCTGTATTTTATTGGTATTTTCTGGTGATAAGTGGTAATTATCACATATGTTTTCAGTTACCCATTGCAGAACACAAACAGAACTATGCTTCTACAGTTCAGATTGCTCAAACGCAGTAAGAATAGCAGTGTATACGGAATTATGTGTACAAATGGAAAGAACATAGATAATTCCTTGTCTTTTCAATCACTCTTTTATGGTTGATGTTTCTGTATACAGAATGAGAAAGAAAATGTGCTTATTCAGCATCAGTAATCAAAATAAATTCCCCCAAATAATAACAATTCCTTAAAGAATTATGACAGCCCCCCCACATAAAAGTGTGCTCCAGTAATTGACTTACATAAGTATTTGTAAATTATAATTAACTGAGCCGCCTAGATACATGTCTGATTTTTGTTTTAAAAGTGTCTCCAGCGGTTACTTGCACGTGATGCATGTGTACTTACTGGAGCAAGTTTACAAATCCAGTGAGAACAGGGGACTGCAATTTACACGAAATAAACACTCAGTACTTTTTTCGTGCCGAAACCCAGGTCAGACTAAGACTTGACATACATGGGAGGTGAAATCTACAGAAACGAGCTGACTGACACATCCCCTGAATGTCTCGTTGGGTTACAGTAGTTATTGAAATGTTTTCATCATTAATCTATGCCTTTCACTGCTTTTTGCAAATTGTACTCTCAGTCTTCACTTCAAATTTGATGTTGGAAAGAGAAATAAGCAATGGCACAGAAATATAATTTGCCCTTTCGATCTGAACAAAGCCTTCCTTCCTTGAGGACTTGTCTGTCATTTCTCTTTTTGACACCATCCCATGCCTCTTATACGACGCGATGATGCTTGTTTCCTTTCTAGACAGGAGTGTTACTTGCTTTATAATTTAACTATTATTTAACTTTGGGCCAGTTTTCTTTTCCCCCCATGAACTCATTAAAACTGCCGTGTATCATATTTCTCAATCAACCAAATCACTACATTGAAGTATTACAGTTGTACAGTTCCATAAATTATATACAGATATTAATGTGCTGGTCTATTGTTGCTCTGCTGTACCTTTTTATTACATATTTTTTACTTGTTAGACAATATATTGTGACTATGTCCTATGCAAAAGAAAATTAACAGAATTTTTAAATATTGTATGTTGTCTTAACTTGTATGCATGAGTTAGTGAAGTTTACATTTGGAAATAAATTCATAAATAACCAACTCTTTCGGATTTATTTTCTTGCTTTACTTCAATGGTGAGAAAAACAACCCTCCTTTCAGATAAATTCCTTTCATAACATTTATTTTTAGCATTGACACCAAAACAACATATCCCTTCGGCTACTAGCTACAGTACATTGCCATTTATACTTCATGTGGTTAGATGTTTTGGGTTACATCATTACCTCAGCCATGTGCAACATAGGTTTGGTGCTCTCAGGCAATCAACTAAGGAAAATTAGTCTAATTCTTGCATCCTTGGAGACCCTGATCTTAAATATAATTTCTGTGACAAAGTACTGATTACCATTTTAAATTAGGGCCAGAGGTTTTCCATTCCCACTGAAGAAACCACCCAATGGCTCTTGTGTGAGAGTATGCAAAGATGCCTGGAACTATGCGCAATCATGTTTCTCAACCACAGCAACACACTGATTGCTGTATTCAGCAAGAACCTTGCCAGGCCTGTAGAATGAGCAGAAAAATGTGATTTTTTTGTGAAGATTTTGCTCAGGACTGGTAAAAATCTTTTAATGAACTCAATTCAAGTATCCAAAGATTCGTACCTTATCAACGAGTATTTATTTTCCTGGCTTTTATTTTGGGGGGGATTCCTGTTCTTTGACATTTTTAGTTTTGTTGATCTCGCAAACAAAACCCAGCTAGTATATCAATTTCATAGCATGCTGTTGGACAAATGTGTTGTTTTCTTGAAATAGCCGTAAAAAGTAACAATCTCCAGAATGCAAGGCAATATGCAGTACAGCTGAATGTACAGTATTATGAAAAAGATAAGGTAATTGTCTTGTAGCTTAGCCCCTTAGAATGCTGATCTGCAATCTACTTGAAAGGTTTATAATAAGTTACCCCACATGAGCAGGCACATCCAGCTTATAAATGTGCCTTTAGCATTATGAAGCGGGACTATGGTTCTGCCTCGCTCATAAATTAATTAATTAATTAACAAAAGCTTAATTAACAAAAATGTATCTTTTTTCTGAAGATTTTTGAACATCCAGTTTTTCTGTGACACCCTCTCCATATGGGAATAACCAGCTGTGTGTTTTTTCATTTTGACTCTCAGCTTCAAACGCTGTAATCGCACACAGGGAAGAATGAGGAAGTTCAGGCGGCCATTTACTCTATATGTTGACACCTCACAGACTATTCGGTCCTATGCTAGACATTCAGGGACAGAGAGTACAGATGTCCTGTGCATGATTAGTCTCTTCGTATTTTAGACATCATACGGAATAGACAACATTTATTCTGTTGTAACACAGGAATAATTTGTTCTGATTTTGCTGTGTGATATATTTTTTTACCCATTATACATTTACATTTTTCATTCTAGAGTCAATGAGAGTTATGTTTGCTAAATCATAACATAAGCTCCATTAACTACAGTATGTGGTTCATTGTGGGAAGGCTACAGATATTTGTATAAAATTATCCTTTCTGTGGGATGTTTCTATGAGACTCTTTATTTGTAATCAAGTGCATAATCATTGTTTTTTTCTCAAAAGCTCTAAAAAAAGCCCAGCCACTTCTTTAGGGCTTGGGTAGGATGAGTGTCAATTTTTAGTTTTTCTCCATTAACAAGATCCCAATATTATAGGAGGGTTTCTGGGCTGGTTAACAATTAAAAACACCCTTTGTTTTAACAATACAGTTGGAACTGGCGGCACTTTAATAAACCTATCCATTTACGTTGCTTAAATTTCTTATATTGATCAGTTATTGGAAATATTTTAATGCTAACAGTTCCATTGCAGGACCTGAAATGTTATAGGCTTTCCTGGATGGTCTCGTCTTACAGCACAATTCAAGACTAGATTGTATTTTTCTCATTGGAGAAACACATATATACTTTATAGTCAACATCGACATTTAGTTATGAATGTTTAAGAACTTACAAAATAAAGTAATTAGCTGTTTAAAAGGAAGTCAAATTCTTTCCTCAAGATGACACTGGAAGTGTAAATGGCCAGGGGAATAAGCTTACACCCCCACATAAAAGCTATTTTATTCAATCCAGAAATACTCAAGGTTTACATGACAGCTGCTGGTTTATTCCACTGTGCTCAGAGACTGAATACATTCGTTTTTTTAACAGATCTTGGAACCTTTACATACACTTTCAGGTCACCTGAATTGGTATCCAACTCTTTATAAAGACGTATTTTAATATAGTGCACAGCAATGAAAAAAAGAATGGCATATCAGATGTGAACCCATCTTCTTCAGCAGGAATCAGTAGAAAACAGACTATTTAAGCTTAATTTCTCACTGACATTTGATTAATGTAAGAATGCCATCAAGATCTTTAAACTCAAGTTTGAATTTCCTATTAAAACTTTTTCACGTCATTTGCAATATGGCAGAGCCTTGCTAAAACGAATCACAAGATTTATAGGGTATATAAGGCCGATGTTCATATTTTAAAAACATTCCTCAATGTGGATGTCAGATGTGGCAAGCACACCCTTTAATTTTTGCAATAGTTAACCATGGTGGTTATAGATTGTTCCCACTTACCATTACATGTGAAGTGGAACTTCATCGTAGGGCAGGCTGCACATTATGTAAAACAAGGTACACCAACTCTCCCTGCATTGTGAATAAAACAAGGTTTGGTGTGTCAGGGATTTAAATGAGCTTCATATTTATATGAACCTGACAAAGGGAAAAGCAAAGTCAATATCTGTTAAAGTGTGCTTGATGTGCATTATGGAAGAAATTCTGGAAGACAGCAGGATCCTGTTATGTAACTGAGGTATTAGGCCAGCTGGGTTTCATCCCTGTGTTTCACATGTAGCACCTATTTTACCCATTCTGGGACAGGGTGCTAACACTTAGCCACCCTTTAAGGAAAGGTTTCTTTAGTTTTGCTTTTGTTTTTATCCTCATACTTTGTACACTAATTCGTGTCAGGGTATATGAGTATGCTGAAAGCTAATATTCTTTCTGCTTGTGATCGGTCTTCATGAAGAAACGTGACAAGTGTTTGAGACACACAGGACAATTGTGCAAGAGCGAATCTTATTAGCCACTGTTATTAGAATTTTCCATTTTCAGTTCCGTGTTCTAGAAACATTAATTTGCCCTTTTTATTGTCTGCAGGAGAAATGCAAATGTAAAGCTAAACTTTGAAATCATACTTAAAAAGGCTTTAAAAAGCTTTCCATGCTCACATGTGTGACATACTGTACTATGGTTAAAGTCACTCAACTCCCCGCTGAGTAGGCGAGTTACAAAGGTACAGAACACTCAGTAGGAATAAAAAAGTTTCAGAGCATTCAAGAGCATTTGTGAAGTAGTTTTCAGTTAGGAGCAGCTCGGCAACCGGCATCATCCCCCTGTCTCAGATTATGAAACATTACAGTTTCTCAGACAGATGATCCCCCAGGATTTCTGGGAAGGAATATCAAGAAAAAGAAAATTGTATCAAATTATTTGCCAATGCTGTTCTTCTGACTTTTTTTGTTGGCTGACTTCAAATAGGGGAATTCACCGACAAAATGACTTGTGCTTTTACATCTTGATACAAAAAACCTTTGGGAAAATGTGGGACGGAATAACATCTCCTTGTAAGCATTCTGAGTGGACTATCGGAAATGAACTAAAATTGTCCTAAAATGTATCAATAAGTTATTCAACAATTGTTAGGCTAAAGACTTTAAGGACTGTCAGAGTGGATAGCTGAGAATTTGAAACCTTTTTAAATCAACAGCAAACTTTCAACTAAACACTTCTGCAAAACATTTGCCTCTATGGTTCTCTACTGCGTTGTCTAGAGAAGAAAGATTATATCCCATCATTCAGTCTTTATCACAGGTATTGTCTTTAAGTTCAGCATTTCTGCTCCTTCATTACATTGTAGCACTCTACACTTGTCCACATTAAAATGTCATCTGCAAGTGCTCACAAAGTCTTTAATTCAGTCTTTTTGACTTTTTGAATTTCATTTATTGCATCTACAGTGTTTTTTTAATCTCTGTATTTACTGTAGGCATCTTCAGGTACAAATCTGGAATTGTAACAGTCACAATTACCTTTTGTTGTTTAGGGATTAAGTACATTATTCTGAGTTACTTGCCTTTTCACGTCTTTTACAGGTGCACTTTTAGACTCATGGTGGTTAGTGTTTCATATGTACACCTGATTTATATAATGTGCATGTGGCACTAAATTCTCTGTATCCCTAGAGCAATAAAAGTACTGTTATTTTGTACTCGATGCCAAGCTAGTTCTCCAAGCGCAATCAGGGCAATTATAAAGATGAATCATGTCTTGCGAAGATGTAAGAAACTGAACACTCTTTCAGTGTAGAAGTCAGCTGTGAATGTTATAAATGCAATAATTCCCTTGAGTTCATGTTCAAAGCCAACAACGCATCTGAAATGTTTACCCAAAAGTCAGGAAAGTATTAATGGCTTACTTTGCTGTAACATGCAGTTGTGAAACTATTTCAAAGTGCAGCTAAAACAAGTAAAGAAAAAAAAAATTATATCTGTAAAAAAAGTAACAGGATGTTTTTCCAAAAGTACATTCTGCTCGCACTGAGTGAACCCTTTGCTACTCATTTCTACCTTTGTTCTTTTACATAATGTACCTTTAGCCATTCTATTCCAAAGAGGGTTGCCTGTAGAAATAAGGCAGGATGGTTTTCAGAAGATGTCCCCCAGGCTGAGGCCTAATACACAGCCAGTCAAATGAATAGACCGTGGAGCCTATCCTCTCTTCGTTGTCCAGACTGCATTCGTGTCAGCGTACTGTGGCAACAGTAAATGCCAAGTGGTTTGCTTTTGCCAAACTTTATCGCTTGGTCCTCATCTGCTATTTAGTTATTCAGAAAATCTTGCAGTCATCCACCTGTTTACAAAATCAGATTGGCCAAGTGTCCTGTACAATGCCTGAGGTCAGAAACCTGAGAGGATAGACTGTTATCACAAGCAGCCCTCTCTCTCACTGGCAGCAGGACTATCTTGTGATTTGCTTAGAATTTGGGTTACCCTACCTGAGCAATTTCAAAATTTATATTCTCTTTTACAGTACCTCCACTTGTACAGCAGGAAGTACTGACTGTACCTTCCACTTGAAATATGTAAATATTTACTGGCATTGATAGTAGTTAAATTTAGATAAGAAAAGGCAGGTCATTGTTTTCATGAGATTTTATACAAATTAATTCTATTTTCCAAGGTTTGAAAAACTCACTGAACATACAGTGTTTATGCTTATAACATTTCTGGTTTGGTGAGGAACAGTCTTGTATTTTGTTCTGATCCATACATGTAGATCAACAGCACGTTCTAACTTCTTTGACAGGTTTTTGTCCATTCAAGTTCCCAAGACAATATTTTCATGCTCTTGATAAACTTGAATACTCGAGGTTGACCCAGGATTAGGAATACTGCTGCACTGTCCTCAGTGTTGTAGGTGGAGGAGGCAAACAATGACCATAAGGAACCAAAAGAACTATAAGGACCATAAGAAATAAAGACTGAGGTTTTCTCACTTGAGTTGAAAAATCTGAATTGCACTTTATATCAAATAAGGGGGTTTTAAATTCAGTGTCGCCTTGGCTAGGCATCTCGAGAACAAGGCCTCCATCGCCAATTATAGGGTTAGTAAAGGCAGTTCTGAACAGGCCTGTGTGGCTTTGACCACAGTTGCATGGAGGAACTCCTCTTGCTCAAGGATATTGCATCAGCCATGATTACCAAGCAAAAAAAGTGGTATCTATAACCGTGCTCGTTTGTTGTAACCTTATGTTCGGTTTTTCAAGACTGCTCTAAGCTCTTAAATGGAAGAAATGATGAACATTGTAATAATTATGGCCTAGAACATTGATTTATCTAAAACATCAATGAAAATCTCAAACAAGCAGGTGTAGTGTTAACATAAAAAACATATGCATATTGACATGTCATGTTAGACCAGTCTGGGTTTTAATAACTATGTCCCCAACTATTATGCAGTTCACCGTCAGGTAAAAAGGGTTTTACCCTGACATCTGTGTGTCTCCAAACTGATTAAAACACAACAAATAATGCTGTCTGGTTGACTCTACAGTAATGAAAAACATTTTTAAAAAAGCATAGAAAAACCACAAAGCTGAAAAAAAACACTTTTTTCAGCAGTTGGACATACATTACAGTAAACAGTACTCAGTACTTTCAACCTTTGCTGCATGGATATATAAAATTACTTCTTTTTTTTAATAAGTCCTTCGTAGAATCTAGGGAATTGTAATGGTCAAGAGATTGGTGAGAGAAGAAATCTATTTTTAGTGGAAACACCAAAACGACAGAACAGAAACGCTCTGTTTAAAAAACCCAGTGCTCTCCCTGCCCCCAGTAGAAAAAACAAAACACCTTGAGAAGAGCTAGCTACCTCTTGGGCTTCTCCACTCCCTACCTACAGCTCTATTCTTCCTCAGCTGCAGTCAGTAAATCCCATGTGTAACAGGAAGGAAAATGAACTAAAAATACAAGTACAAAACTGCCGTGTACAGTGTGTATTCTGACTTTATCTGCCTACAGCAATAAATTGTGCAGCCTGAGCCTCCCACATGATAAGCAGCAGTGTCAGACAGCAGTCAACAATCAGATTGCTGGGATGTGTGTGCCTTACTGTGTAATAGGAGTTTTCCATCTCTTTCCCTTAATTTCCAGACTTAAATACAGGGCAAGGTCTATATAAATATGCCAAGGAAATTATATCACAGGAGAATGTCTACCTCTTAAACATGCTGTAAAGTGGCTCAGTGGGTGCGCCAAATTATGCTCAATCAGAAACAAGGTACAGGATGAGAGTTCATGAAGTTTCTTTTTGCAGTGTTTGATGACACTTCAGTTAACATGATAAACGTCGCCAGGAGAATAAAAACAGCAAGTTTTGGGAAAGTCCTTGAATACCACTTTATTTATTATGAAAGTAACAGACATCTGAGCGCAATATGCACCAATAAATAACAAATAACTAAAGAACCTCCGCACAAAATTCAGTAAATGGGAATCATTTACCACTTTTCCGCTAATGCAAGCAAGGCTTGTCACATGTAACTTTGGAAGGAACTTTGTGTTACAATGAGACAACTTTTGGAGCAGGTCTCCTTTAGGTTTTCTGTAGGGCTGGCATAGGTTTCAGACACAGACAAGGGATTTGTTTTTGTCTTTTTGTGGGTATAGTGGGTATAGCTCACCACATCTAATGCTCAGCTTAAAGCTGATTGGCCAGTGAAGCACTTGTGATTGCTTTCCCATGCGTCCAAAGGGAACTGATGCCAGATGTTGGAGCCTGATTGGCTGGCATGCTAGCAGACCTTTTCTATGGAGATACAGAGAGCCTCCCAGTCCGCAGGGCTTATTACAGAGCTATGGCAAACAAAGATAGGCTAGGTATATGTCAGGTACCAATTGTACAGAAGGACTTGAGAAAAATCAAACCTGAGAAGCAAGCCAGTGGAGTTTACCTGGATGAAGGAAGCATGGGCCAAGCAATAAGAACTGGTGCAGGACAGGACCTAATCATGAGAAGTCTGAAGTGTAGAACCGGTTCTAATTAAAAATATATATTTTCTATGATCTTAACAATCATCTCCTATTTAAAATAAATAGCTCTCAGCATTGTGTTGCTTTCCTTCAATATTTTAATAAAATGGTAAAGTAATTAACAAATGAACCCCCATCTGAAATAAAAATTGTACAAGATGGATTTTGCTAAAAGTTTGCAAAACGGTAAAATACACCCCATAGCCATTTAAGCCAGAAATCAGGAGAACAGTTATAACTTTAAATTACATGGAAAGAGCAATCCACACAGAGATTTAAGGTATGTTAGGAACCTACTTCAATAAAGTCCCAAGCAGCTCCACAAGAGTTTTAGGATAAGCTTTTTGAAACAGTTAACTGACTTTGGTAAATACAGTGCATCCTGGAGCATAATATTTACCAAAGTAAATACTTTGATAAATTCAATTATATTCAATTCCTAGTTTCGGACAAAAAAAAAAACGATGTTATTTCATTTAAATTATTTTTTGAGCTAGGCTGTAAACACAAGTAAATTCAGTATTGACTGCAGGGCTGTGTGTTGTGTAATTCCAGCTTTCGAACTTCCAGTAGGGACTTTATTGCAGCCTCGCAATGTTCAGAAGGCTGAATTTTTATGCTTGCACCAGAAGCATTTCAGGCCTGACCTATCACGAATAACAAATGAATAATGGACTTCCAGACAGTTATATGAAAAAAAAGCTCTCAGAACATGCCACTTACGAGCGGAACCTTGTGGGAGTATGTATATGCACTATGAAAAGAGAGGGGGGATTTCGGGGATTATGAAAAGGCAGTTCAAGGGAGGCCGGTGAAGCACTCTGTAGGAGGGAATCATTAAAACCGCATTTTTGTGTGCCAATTATTACCGACACCCACACTGAATAATGTGCTATGTGTGGAAAACACAAAAGCTGGAATGAGAGGAATAACGGGAGGCGGTTTTGGTGGCGGGGGTAGCCCGTTTTTGAACGCGGGTCAGACAAGTGCTCAGGCAGAATGGCTGACATTTCGTGTAGGCTGGTACAGCGCTCCCATTTTCCCACCTCCCGGAGAGAGGTCTCACTTCCACACTTCCAGTCAGCAGTAGGTGTTTCTGATGGGCTTCCCTGGAAACTGCACATGGGTACAGGCAGCATCTGTGCTCAGGCACAAGAGCGGGGGATGGCAAACAATGTGGAGGTCCCCTGATTATCTCCCTGGAGGCTGCCATTGGGCACAGCAATGGGAAAAAATCACCCAGTGGCACTCCCTGCATGCCAGCTGACTTAATGCATCGTTATATTGTTGAAATTGGATGTGATGTAAATGCATTCCAGTATGTAACTGGCACTGTTTAAAAGGGCATTACAGTTGCCAGCAGTTTTAAATGCCACTTCTTACAATGAGCTACAGAACAGTATGACTTCTGTGTTTATTACAACCCTGTCAGGTAGGTAAAGCCACTAAAATCTTCAGCATCCTACTAAATAAAATTCTTTTAAAAAGTAAGAGATTTTGATGAGTAAAACTGTTCCCTGCATGCACCATCCTGCTTGGGTTCTTTCAAAATATGTTCACCTCTTATTTTTTATATATTTCTCTTTGGTTTATGACATTAATTTTTATAAGTAGAACTTGCATGTGATGTTTTTCAAAAGTGTGCTTGGATATCTATCATCTTAACTAATGAGAAGAAACTGTTTTTTATAATATCATAACTCTTTTGATGGGTTCAATGACAATTATTTCTTTATTAAAACATCCTTTTAGATGAGCAAAGTACAAGTACAAGATGTATATTATTATAGTAGTGAAACTGGCACATTCTGCCGTGTCATATTCATTGAACACCGGTTTAAAATGCTTTTTTCCTACCAAGAAAATCTGAGTTTTCTGTAATATATTTCAGGTGAAATTCAGATCTTATAATATTTCTTTTCATTTTAATGCGCTTTTAAAGAGCTAGGCTGTTAATTAAAAGTATCAATATTAATTAAAATACATTTACATTTTGCTTTTTTCTATCTGCAATCCAAATAAAGGCTGATTACTTCAAGCCAAAAACAGCTGCCACTAAAATGACATGAAAGTGAAGATTTTAATGAGTGTTTTTGATAAGCACTCTTGTTGGGAAATTACTGCCAAGCAAGTGGCAACATGGAGATGGGCCTGCATTTAATTTCAGAGCACAGATTTATTTGCAAAAAGGTATTGTGCCCATATAACTCAGGCTTCTTCAGCGTTCAACAGAGGATGTGAGTTTGAATAGCTAAATACAAGTGCTCTTAAGCTGTGCAAATGTTTTGTTTTTTGTTGATCCTCAGCTATTTTATAATGTACAGTATGAAAGCTGAATGGCTATCAACAAAACAAGTTGGTATTTTGGATTTCGTTTTCCCACTTAAACATCAGCTTGTAATTATGTGACTGGTGGCCCCTAAAGTTGTCGGCTAACACATGTTGTCAGATTTTTTATCCTACAGTATTCATAACACAAGGTTACAAACACAGGGGAGCCATTAGGCCCATGAAGCCTGTTTGGCAGTTAGGAACTGATTGACCTGGGGACCTCATCCAGCTGTTTCATGAAAGAAGCCAAGGTGTCAGCTTCAAAAACACAACTATTATCCCCCCAGCCCTTTTGGTAAAGAAGTGCCTTTGGTTAGGTGTTATTCCTGCTATTCTACCGATGACTTGCTAATGGAGAAATCTCGATCAGGTTAGAGACTATGGAATTCCCCATAGCTGGCACCAATACTTTCTCAGAAGGCTGCAAGCATCATTGTACCAAAGTAGAAAAGCGAATCTCTCTGCTCCCCTTTAAAAGGTAGATGGCCTTTTCGGTAGGAAGGACTTCTGGTACTACACCTTTGTGTAGCAAGAAGAGTTGATTTTGTCAAATCCCTTAGATTTCTCTACTTGCATTGTATATCTACTGTAGTACCCAAGAGGTGCTTAACTCAGAAGGGAATACTATCCAATTGCAACAGGAGTTCAATCAATTCCTTTGGCACACTTTGTGTAATTTCACTCTATTTGTCAGACTCCAAGACTGCACCACCTCTCATTTCTGCTTCCTGTTTGTCTGCCTATGCACACTATTTCTGGGGAAAATGTCATTTAAATAAACATTCTAACTGTAGCAGCCACAGAGGAGAAGTGACTTTGCAAAGCTAAAGATACAAAATGTAAAGACAGCGATCAAAGAAAATGAGGCTGTGGATCTAAAGCAAACGGGCTTTTCCTAGTGGTTGTGTTTTTTTTTACATGAATTTGTTACTTATAGATGCTTTAAGGTTGATGAGATACATTTTAAAACATTTTTGCAACAATGAATGGAAGGCCTGTTTCCTAGAACGTCACAGATCACCACATTAGGCAAGAACTGAGCTTTTACTTATCTCAGCATTAGTGGCCACACCCCCTCGCACATCTAAATGCATGTTTAGAGATAAGCATGTCCTAGGCAGAGCTGCATGTGCTTTAACCTCTCCCATTTGTCAACAGGGGGTGTCTCAATAAACCAGTTTAATACGTCAGCAACTTTCCAGTAATCTCCTAGACTTAAGCACCTGTGAACTGTGCTTTCTAGGACAGTGCAGATCAGCTCCACATCTATCTATCCATGACAATCTGCATTCACTGTATATAACATTCTGAAGTCTGTGTAAAGTCCTCCCTTTAGATTTGTGAGTGAGAGGAGTTTGAGAAATAAAAATAAATTTAATTGGTGTTTTTACAGCCTACGTCTGAAGGGAAACAGAAAAAAGGAAGTCACTTTCTTGTACATTTCGGTCCTTATGCGTTACTAGGTTTTAGCTGACTATTATATTACTGGACTGGTAAAAAGTTGTCGTTGAATTTAAGAATCATTTATGAATGTGCAGACAGTCCTTACAAGTGTACGAGCAGGATTTAGCCTTTTCAAATTTAGAAGTAACCTATATTCAGAGCATGTAAGAGCCTGATTGCAACGGAAGCATTTTTGATAAGCAGAAAAAGGTTAAGACACAATATTTTCTAAGATCATGTTCTGCATGGAATGCCACATGAATTTAAGAACACAGTATATGTTTTTAGGATCTCCATGAGCTTTTTTGTCATAATATGCCATGCAGTTCTTCGTCAACCACAGAGTTACAGCACCTAAAGTAGGTCGAGGTTATGCAAGTATGCCATTGTCTCAGAGCAGGTTTGGAAAAATGCTTTTGTTTATCCAAAATCTTATCTCACCTTATTCATGGGAATTTGAAAAGCAGATTCTACTTCATTTCATAAGCTTTGGTTTTAAAAACACAATTCTTTGTTCAATGCATAAGGATACTTGCTATTTTTCTAATAAGCTGAATCATATCTCTATGGTTACAGACTGAAAAAGTTATCTAAGGACAAGACTGCAGTGTTCAGAACACAAACACTGCCACCCATTTCTCAGTGTCAGACTACAAGCTGTTCCTGCAGAGTTGTATCTAGTGGGAGTGTAGCACACTCTACTGTGAAACGGCCAAGTCTAATCAGCTCACACGAACTGGCTTTACAAGTTCTTTATTTTCTTCAATGCGTTTCAAGTTTTAAGGCTTAGTACTCAACTGTGTGGTAAAATAAAAGACACTAAACTCAAAAGTGATACCGTGTATTAAAGTTGATTGACATTGTAAACTCTGAAACTGGTACAATGTAATAGGGAAGAAAATTTGACCATAACAGAGAATCTGCCACAAAAACACATCATGTTATATAAGAAAAATAAAATAAAATTGGATACCAGTGCAATGCTACACTCCAGAAAACACCCTATTTCAATTTTTGAACATTGTCCATGTTGAAATAAAAAAGCTAGTAATTAAAATGCAATTCACAAGAAGGCATAAAAACATAGAACATTTTGTACCAAATGGTTTGAAAGTAATGGGGCATAATATTACAAGATATGAAATGCTGTTATTTAACTCTGGAGTCTTTTAAGTACACAACTGACATGAGAACTGATATGTGATAACACACGTTAAATGGGAGTCAGAAGGTTCTGTTGTCTTTCTCTTTCAAAGACATAGACACTGGAGATCAATCAATTTTACTGCTGACACCAGTTTTTTAAAGATATTGTTGGTTTTCGTGAAAGGGAAATGCTCAATATTGAACTTTGGGCCTTATCTGTGCATTTAGCATCCTTGGGGAGCACCTATTTACAGAAAACTTGAAAAGACAGATGACCGGAACAGGTTTCATAGAAAAACACAGCAGCATTTTAATTCCCACGTTCACTGCAAGAAGAGATTGTGTTTGATTGTTCCTCTTACGGTACTAAACAAATGCGCCATGCATTACTGTTAGGAATTGGATGGACTTGAAAACAATGCTTTTATAAATTGCTTTATGAATTCTTATATCAAGCATGAGCACTGCATTATCCAATATGCTTTATACTCAGTGTTTGTGTTTTTAAAACGTGGCATTTTATAGAGCCAAAATTTGTTCTTCACAGCTTTTTCAGCTGCCACCCCCTCTGATTTTAAAATCAAAGGTTCTGAATGCCCAAATGAAAGAGAACACTCTTCACGTCTACACAACTTGACCTAAAGGTGTTCACATGGCCGAGCAGCGGATCGCATTCATTAGACCACCACAATAGAGTAGTGACAATCTTAAAAAATACAAAAAAATACCTTCTTTCAGGAATCTAGGCACACTGAGCATAGGTGCAAGAATCCTTAAACATGACGAAAACTGTGATATGGTTTCCTTCACCATCCAGGCATTTTCTCTTCTATGGGAAAATAAGGCTTACTCCACCAGTTATGACCAGAAAAGGACAACCCTGATCAATAACTGTATGTACAACCCAGTGATTGTTCATTTGTTTAAAATGTCACTTATCTGTGCATAAAAATAATAAAAGCAGAAGGCAAAACCATTCTATATCTTGAAGACTTTGAAAGCATTTCTTACTGATCATACATTCACTTGGTGGACACTAACATTAATATACAGTATAAATCTTTTTATCTCATAGTATGGTTTATGGTCTACATAATTTCTCAAGTAGTTGGTAGAAACTAAAACATGCTACAAGAAAGTGAATCCCACCAGCATTTACATTATATCCATTTATCACTACCAAAATCAAAAGCAAATTAAATACCTACCTTAGTGTATCACGGTGGTAACTGTAATCAAAATAAATTATATCAGTTTAAGTAATTGGATCTGCCCCCACGACACCATCTATAAATTCAAAACATTTAAATTCTGACATTACTTTTCCTAACATTGAACTTGTTATGGCTTGTCTTGCCTAACTGCAGTGTCTGTCTGAGACATGGTATTAAAACACAATGCAACAGTATCTCTAAGCACTAAATGAGACAGTTCACTCAATTTTTTTCTAAATGGATCTTCTTTTAAAAATCACAGGAGGAAATTGGTTAATATTCAGTCAGTTTTAAAATGTGTTTCAAGGGAAGACTATAAATATTTTAGGGTATTTAATAAAGTACACTTTGTCAGCGAAATATCTAACAAAATAGTGGTTCTACATTAGAGTTCACTGTGCCAGTTCTTTTTGTATCCTTGGCTGAGCCACCATGGTGATAGAAATGTTTGGGTTTTTCTGAAAATTAGGACCATCTTCTCCACTTGAAAAACTTACTTGAGCTGCCTGGTAGGTATTTCTTTATTCCCTTCTACGTGGTTAGTATGACCTGGAAAAAAAATTATGAATGAGAGACACCTGTAGTATTAATAAACTGAAACACAGGGAACCAAATGCAAAGAACGTCAGATAGAGCATCAGTCATAAAGCTAATAAGGGAAATTCGTTCCACTTCACAAAAAGTGCAGCCCACTCAAAGTCATGCAGGTAATGTTAATGGAGGGACTTTGATAAAACATTAATGTTTGATAAAGTATTAATTCATAGTAGTCACTATATATCTTATAGTGGTATCACTGTAAAACCTCTGCTATAAATTTCTCATCTTGTTTTATTCAAAACTAGGATCAGTAGGTCAATATGTTGGATATTTTGTCATTTATCAGTAAATCTGGTCTTGTGATACATGAGCTACCAATGGAAGAGTAGGTAACAAACTTGCAAAATACTTTATATCCAAATGCAATTCACTCTATCCCATAGGTATACACTATATGTAGAATATACAGTATATGTACTTTAAATAAAGACTTGTATATCTCTTTGTGTTGCTGATTCAGATAATCGGATGATGGAATTTTCCTTCAGTTCTGTGCAAACACATCCTCTTCTCCTTTTTTTTAAATTTACATCTAAAACTATTACATCACTGAGACAAAAAGATCATTCTGTGCTGAATTTGTGCCTCTGCAGGCTTATATTCATTTCCCAAGAACAATTTAATAGTACCCTACAGTGCAGTCATGTTTCTAAATAGCATTGTACAATCACCATAATTAGTGCTCATAAGTGCATGGTGCATCAGAAAGACCAGGCTTGTTGCAAAGCTCTAAGTATGTCTGCACATATAGCGTACATGTTTGGGAATAAGTGAGTGGCCTGCATGTTAAATCATTTATAGTAGAAAAATAAAAATAAAAACGCCACACGCAAGAGCTGTCTTGGTGTTCCACAGAGGCTGATCTCTGTGGTTGATAGTGTGAAGGGCTGTGGTTATACATTAAATGCAGCTTTTATGAAAAGACCTTTTTATTATGCTTTCTCAAGGCATGTGGTAACTTTAGGATAGAGGTTATACTGTTTTCCACAACTCTAATAAGATAGTTAAGGTACCCTGCTGTAAATACTTTTATAGCAGGGGGAAAAGTGAATGCAATGTGATCAATAGCATGGGCGTAATTCCTCAGTTTGAACTCCATAATACGTGTTTTACAATGTACAATAGAGGAAGATTCAGAATGCTTCTGTCCTGCAAGCAGAATCAATTGATTGAAGATCCCTTCTACACACAATTGCTGACTGGGTTTCTACATCACAATCCCTGGTTTCTGCTGGGCCAGAACAAGAAAGTAATGATGACGGTTTACAACAGAAAACAATAAAAGCTGTAACTCTCTTACTCACATAGAAAAAAAAAGCTGATTTTTTTCCCCAGACATTCATTCACCTTACATTTGTATGCCAGCAGAATGAACCTAAACATCAGTGAATCTAAATGATTTTTTTTTAGTTAAAACCACACAATAGAGGTTAAGGTGGGTATATCTCCTTTAACAATAAAAAAGTGAGTCAGCGAAGCGAGAACTTTAGCACAGGCATAGTTTTGCTCGTAGTTTTTTTTTTGCTCAAAAACTAAGATTGTTGCACACACTAAGACTTGTTTTGAGCATCAGTATTTTTCCAAATGAATAGATTTGACATTCATTGGACTGCATGTCAAATCCTTAATCATACAAATTGCAGGGCACAAACCGCAGGCTTTACAATGGGAAGATTTTATTGTTATTGTTTCTTTGTCTAAATATGGCAACGGTCTTCATGACAAAGATAGTAATTATATCTAAACATGGACTGTTCTATGTTTATTAAGAATTAACCATGATTGCATTTTTGCATTTTGGTAACATCTGAAGTGTGACAATGGTGCTACTTGCTGAATCGAGGAGATGAATTTACTGAATCACTGTTCTACTTTAGGGTGTGTATACTTAAGCTTGATTTGACCTTTTACGTGTGTACATGTGTACAACACCAAGAGAAAAAAGCTACTCTGGTACAGTAAGAAACACCAATATTGTTTTTCCCCTTTCTGTAACAACGAAACAGGAGATACATTTAAAAAAAAAAAATTAAAAGGCTAAAAGGGAGTTTTCTTTTCAAAGATGTGCAGGCTTCTAATCATACTAGAAGTTGCAATCTCTTTACAAAAACAAAAGAGCCTAAACATGTAATTGATTCCCCCATTTTTGCATTTCATGGAAAAAATAATTAAACACATATGGATAGATCTGTAAAGGACTTCTAACCATACTTGCAGGTCTCAGCCTTTTTAGAGGCCTCACTTTAAGTAGAATCCACTTCCGAACTGAAGACTAAAACCCTGGAACACTGAAGCACACTACAGCTACAGTATGTGAAAACTATTCGTATTACGTGTGCAGTGTATGCCAGCCATTTAATGCTAATGCATCTTATTGCAAACTGCAGGCCTCAAGGCTATGCAAAATAAAGGTTAGCTGCTTTTAAAGCCAAATGTCCCACAGTTCTCAGATATTTCCCTTACATGGCAAATATAAGAAAACAGAAATACATTACTAGTATTTGTTATATAAATCTCTTTAGTTATACATGTAGCTTTTTCACTACTCCAGTTTTAAATTTTTTATGTTTTAATAATGGAAAATAATTGCATTTCCACCTCAATGTTTAAAAGAGGCTGCACAATGGAGCGATGATTATTAGTATGACTGAAGTACAAAGTACCAAGTAATTCACTGAAAAAAAATAAAATAAAGCTTTTTCATAACTCAGCTTGATGAGTAGTAGGTTTTGTTACAAATGTTTGAAACTATCGAGAACATAAATAGTCATAACTTAAAACACTTCTTTTACAAAGCTCCTTTTTTCAAGGTTATTTTCTTCAAACAGCCCTGCAGTTAAAATAACCTACCAAAATGACAACTGTGTCCATAAGAAAAAGAGCAAAATATTGCTTTGCGGCATTTTGTGAAAATAATATAAAAATAATTTCTATATTACAATTTAACCTTGGCTTGTAAATTCCCAATGTAATCACATTCTCTAGTCCACAAACAAAACACACAAACAACTCTCTTTTTTGTAACAATAAACTAATCTTTTTTTCTTTTTTTGCTATTTACATCGGTACCTAATGTGCAAATTAATAATTTAAAGTAGTGTAAAAGTCTCAAATTAATATAAAATAACATTTTACACTTCTAAGGGTGAGAGTCCATGAAACTGTTACATACAAACGAGGAAGAAAGTTGCAGTATGTTCAGTAAAAATATGAAAGAGAACTAAGAGACAGTCACAGCTTTGACCAGGGACATTTAGTCACGATATTTGAGTACATACAAATCTATGAATGGCTGTCTAAAATGAATGTTTATTATCTATTTGGAGTATATCTTACTGTATTTAAAAATAATAAAGAAAACAGTCCTAAAGACAGATAAAAATCAAACTATTATTTTTCTTGTTAATAAAGCACACTTCATGACAGTAGCTTTGTAATATATTTTACAACCAATATTTAACAGGTGAACCTCCATATCAACTAAAAAAAAAACAGGATTCCTGTCTACTGCCAAAAATATTTTATACTGAAAGTTTCAATAAGCTTTGTTTTCAGTGCTATTTTTCTGTTTACAGATATTTGCACATAATACTGAAAATGTAAGCACATTATAATTACACATAGCAACTGCTTGTGTCATTGGTACAGTACATTTTCAGCTCTTCCTTTCTGAATTAAACTCACATCCATTTTCACACTCAGCTGGATCTGCTGTGTGCGAGTTTAAATTTGCCTTTTCATTTGTCCTCTTCATCTCTTGCACGTCACATTGCCTTCTTCTTCGGGAATTTTGGTGAAGGTGCACAAGATGTTCTCAAATTCAGATACATTAAAAATGTTCTGAAAGCATTTTGTGTTACTGCTGTATACCTGAGAACAATGGCATAGCTGTATTTAAAAATTACTTTTAATTGTTTTTGGCACATTGGTTTTATGTCAGAATTTATGTGTGTAAGCAGTAACCATTTTAATATAAAGAACACTAGCTTTGGGTGAGGAGAGAAGAGGGGAAAAGGCCCTCTGTAAATGTACATAAGTCTTTAATCTAAAACGGCAAAACTAGCATTTTGCATACAACTGCATCTGACTACAGTTGTACAGCCTACAATAAGCTACTTTAAAGTTGTGTGTTGTGTCTCAATTTCTGGAAGTTTTTAGCTTCAAGCAACCAGACGTCATATCAAGAAACAAAAAATGTTGGGGCCTGTAGTTGTGGCAGCTGAAGCCTGTAAGGTGCTACAAAAATGAAAGAAAAAAGCCTTGAAGTTAGATACTATTTGTGCAAGGACATAAGGGAGGGATTATGTGAACACTTCTGACACTAAAGCAATTATTGCTTTTAGATGTATAATTCTTCCTAGACGTGAATATAACAGCAAATGCCTTTGGACAAACTATTCTATACAAACTATTTATAAATTAATCTATTCTTTACAAACTTGCAGATAAAAGTCATAAAGCATTAGACTGTTTCTAATTCACACTAAAAGGGAACTCACAAAGCTCCTCATACTCACTGTTGAAGCCATTCACTTCTGTACATATGCTTTAGTTACAGCAGAAATTACTTATTTTTAAAGTGGTACCCTGCAGTATGACCGTTTCTGTAGGTACCACAGCGCCTCTGTGCCCGTTTGATAAAAGTATTTCATTTTCTTTATTTTTCATACAGGTTTGAAATCTAATTAAATCTAATTAAAAGCAGAAAATAGAAATTCAAACCAGACCTATAATGTTACTCAGGAAGGCCCTGGCCAAAGCTGTGAACTGAGTTTCAGTTCTACCTTCTTCATTATCAAGTAACTGTGTCCTTCGATACTGGGGGAAAGGTAACAGGAGTAAAAGGAACTGTTCTTAAATAGAGTAGGAAATTTGTTATGGTCTACTTCTGCCATTATTTTTTATTATTCTTAGAGCACAAAGGGATATGTTTCCATTTTCTAAGAGAATTTCTGCAGCTAGCATGAACCAGCTGGTTATACCAGCTGGCGTGTGCTAGGGGCTATCCAGGTCTTTGCGTCTTTCCTTCCTTTTCCCTACGTTTCAGCTCCTCTTTGTAGCAATACGAGCAGTAGTTCTCTGTCTCTGGCCGGCCATAGAAAGAACAGTTCTCCTTCTTGCACCGGTTTTGCTGGAGTCTGTAAAGCGGGCACCCCGTGCTGCGGCCTTTGGTTTTGTCATGGCTTAGCCAGGCCTGGGGGGAATCGGCGTCGGCAAATTCAAGGCAATCCCGGACGTCGTTGGCATCGAAACCGTTGGTGTAGGTGTGTGACTTGTGTTCCCCAGGCATGGCGTAAGAGAGGGACTCGACTGTGTTCACTGTACGGATCCCCGACATGCGGGCAGGGCTGTAGCTTTGAGAGGACAGCGAGCGGTTCTGCTGCGGGTAAGTAGCGCAGGTCTTTAGAGTGCCTACAATAGGTTTGTAGGTATCGTCCTGGAAGCTGGACGACTGCACGTTGACATCTCGTAGGTGAATGACGCTTTGCCTCTGGATAGGTGGTGTATGGCTGTAGTGGGCTGATACCGGGATGGGCCCGGATTTTTTAGCACCATTGCTGGGGGAGGAGAAAGGGGCCGGTGTCGGGCTGTGCCTCTCCTGCAGCTTCAAAACCAGCTGGGAGGTATGGCTTTGGTGCAAAACCGGAGAGCAGCCCTCCCGAGGCGAGGTGTCTGTTTTTTCTCGCTGGAAGGCGGCCTCTTGCTCCGGCTTCTTAGCATCGGACCCGCTGACAGCAGGCTTCTTTTCCGACTCTTTCCTCTTCTGCTCTTGCTCCGCGCTGAACCGCTCCTGGGCGTTCGTCAGGTAGAAACTGATCATCTCCTCGTGGAACTGGTGGCGGTGGCTGGTCAGGAGGAGGCCGGCGAAAATGAACTTGCGTTCTCCCTGCATGGCTGCTCTGAGGATGTTGAGGCTCAGCTTGACATCAGTGCTGTACTTCCAGTGGTCCGACACCTTCTCGTACGGGGGCTTCGACGAGCTGTTGCGCTTCTCCACGGGAGACGCCCCCGAAGGCCTCTCTGTAGGGGACGGGCTGGTGGTCTTTTCAGATGAAGACGTGCTGGCCGACTGTCCAGATTCCTCTTTGCTCCCTTTGCGGGATTTCGATTCCTTCTTCTTGCTCTTCTCCCCGCTTTCCCCGTTCCTGCCATTGCCGGAGTTGGATTTGCTGATTTTGCCATGGACCAGCCCCCCCAGACCCCCCATGTTCTTTTTCAGCTTGATGCCCAGGGTTTTGCTAAGGCTCCCGAGTTTGTTGGCAACCGAGTCGGTCCGGTTCTTGTCCTTCTCCTTGCGCTGCTTGTCCTTCTCCTTCTCCTTGCTGGGTTTGCCGTTGTTGACGTTGGAGTTGCTGCAGACGGACTCGCGGTCGGAGTCCATGGAATCAGCTAGTGACTGCACGTCCTCTCCCGCTGAGGCTGTGGGTGACTCTGGCTGAGCGAGGGGAGCCTTTGGGATGAGCAGAAATAAAAAGGACATGAGCATCTCATCGGGCATGCTGGGAGATCTCCCTCGAGTGTCTCCTAACCAAGGGTCTCTTCTGCCCAAACATTTTTTTTTATTTTCCACATTTATCTTTTTCAGTAAGGATGACTGGCTGCAAGGGGGAATTCACCAGCATCAGTTTTAACAAATATTTGTCTTTAGTGAGTGCTTCTCAAGCTCGTTATTTACTGTAATTACTCAACATGTTTGACTCTGACCTCCTAGAAAATTCTAGAGAAGGATGTTTCAACACCCTTACTTTTTATTTTAAGTCACAGATGTTACTTGGGCTAAGAAGCAAAGATTTAATAAATATGGTTAATGTGAAACCCCAAAAACTAAATAACTAAAAACAGTAAAAAATAAGTTTAAAAATTCAGATTAAAAATATGTTATAACATTAATGGTGCATTTTATCTAAAAGAAACTGAAGTAGTACTTTTAATGAGATATATTCTTCAGGTTACAAAATAAAAAAAAGAAAGAAGTACCCTTGTTTCTGAAGGAATTCGAATCCATGTTACATTCATGTAGTTGTGCAGGAGGTTTAGTTTTGCTTCCAAAGACAGGATAAGACTGAAGAGAAACATATATGTTATTCGCCATTTCTGTATCACTTCCACAAATTTGTTTTTCTATTTCTTGTCAAATGTTATGCTAGTGATCCTTGAATTGATATTTATAAAACCTTTACTACATTACAAAGGGGTTGTAAGATGTTTGAGCAATGGCAGATGCCAAATTTAAAACCAAATGATTAAAACCTAAATAACCCACGTCTATACAGAATACATTTTCAACAGGTAAAAGTGAATGTACTTAGAATGACATTAGCATGTGTGCCAGCTGATGATTATGAGACTGCATGAAGGGGCTACAGGTGGCCTTCTGAAGCCCGTTAGGAGAAGAATGAACGCCACACTGTCTTGAGAGCACTCCCAGGCAACGCAGAAAGTACCTAAGAGTCTCAAGTGAGTGTGACCTAATCTGAATTAACGTTATTGGCCAGCTATGTTTGTTTTAACTAGATATCTGATAAGCATTTCTGCATCAGCCTTTCAAAAACAAATTGGACATCAAGATGAAGTGCTAAACTAGATCTTCTGAAAATGAATACCTTTTTTCCATAGAGGGCTGTTTCTTTTTTCCCCCCCCCCATGCACAAAGAAACAAGGCATTAGCAGTTTTTATTACAAGCATGGCATGCGGGACTATTTCATTCGGGCTGTTTTGAATTTATACCTCCCAAGCACATTTCTTAAATCTCCATCTCCTGGCTGTACAAGAGCTTTCCGACACAAAAAAAAAATGTTTTCCCGTCTGTATTTGTTCGACATTCTAAATCATCGACTGAAGAAAACTCTGGCTGGATGCAGTGTGGCGTGGTGATTTCTCTGTGCAGACCTGCGGGCGATCGGCTGACTCACTTGGCTAGCTTTGCGTTATCGTTATCATCCTTCTCCCACTCCCAGTCCCTCCCTGGGTCCACTGCGAAGTGAAGAGGCAGCAGCTTGTGTTCGGAGTCAGTCAGTGGGATAACCGCTGGAAACAAACAAAGGAGAGGGGGTTGCAGCTTAAACTGGGAGAACACAAAAAGAGGGTGGTGGTAGGCCTTTAGTTAATTCCCTATCCCCAACTCCAGAGGCCCCAGCTCAAAAAAGGCTGTTTAAGTGCTCTCCTAACTAGAACTGGCAGAGAGGATCCAAAGAGAAAATCCAATTAAAGGACGCTGGTTGTGCTGACATTATTACATGCTGAGGTGGCACGATTTCAGCACAAAACCATGAAAAAATATTTTTTTTGGTTGCACAGCTGAAGTGTTGCAAGTATAAATGTTTTAGGTTCACCCGAGCTGAGGTGTGGAAGTGGCAGTAATAAACACTATCCTGAGGGTAACAGACTTCCTTTTTTTCTTTAGTGCAAAGTGTATACTGTGTGGAAGGAAAAAAAAAATGTTTCACCTTTAGGAAACAAAACACAAACCAGACATGAAGGCTTTGGTTGCTTTGAAAGTTTAGGTATGGGCCTTTTTCACCAATTACATGTACTGGTCATAGGAAACTGTTTTTCATATCTGAAAACCGTAGTGACACTGACAAATGTTGTACGTTGCAAAGGAACAAGTAATAGGTTTATTCCACGCTGAAAAGAGAAGAATATTCTTACTTTGTTTAGTAGAGAGTCAATACTGAAGACCAAACAGTAGCTGTTACGCTGGTCTCTCAACACACACAAGGAACTGTGTGCCAATAAGCCAAACTGGTGTGTCATACAAGTGTGACTACCTATATGTGACAAGGGGTAAACTGTCACAGAGCATTTGTAAAGACAGGCAGAATAACCTCAGTTATTAGACAAATATACTAATAAAATGAAGCACATGAAATGAATATGCTATTAGGCAAATGAGAAATGTATTTTAAATAAAATAAATCATTACTTATTTTATTTATTTGCACAAAGAAGGCATGTTTTACCTCCTAGTTCCCTGTGATAAACTGAAGACACGCTCTGGCTTATTTGCTAGAACTAGAAAGATACAGTTAAGACAGAAGAAGATGTCTCACTGAAGTCCACAACCACAAGGTTTTGTTTCCAATTTTAAGAGAAGATGTCTCACCGAAGTCCACAACCAGAAGGTTTTGTTTCCAATTTTAAGAGCAAGTGCACATTGTAGATTAGTTACGATCTTTTACAAGAACATCTTGCACAACACCTACATGATTTGTAAATAACATCACTGCAGTAAGAGTGAGGCCTGCCAATTCTGCGAAGCTCCAAACCAAACTGCAGTAAGAGCTATGGCTTATTTATGAGCAATTGCAGATTCACAGGATTGGTCTACTCTTAATGACCTTTACAGGCAGAGAAAGCATAAACAGAGGAATTAATATTGTCCTACACATTGAGTAAAAATGTGCACTAGGTGTGTAAATATAACAAACAGATTTACAGCAGTCTGTGCACGTTGGCTGAGGAAGCAGCCTGATTTGCTTCTTTCTGTCAGAAAGAAGAGTTATAAATCAAAATTTATTTTCAAGGCAGCAAGGAATGTTTTGCTTCAACATTGATTGCACTCCTACATAACTAACACAACATAAAAAGTTAGCTTGATTATATTTTTAGCACATGAGTATGCATATGTGTCCTACACTAAAAGAATCCTTACTGTACCTGCTTCCCCAGTTAAAGGAGGTTATCCCTGTATATCCTAGACATGTTTTTTTCATGACTTCTCTTTCAGGTTTTTCCACAATGGTTCAATGACCGAGAAATCAGTGGAATGGAAACAATCAAATCAAATTTTGGCAAACCTGCTTCATTGTACCAAGCACGCACAAATTTAATAGTTTATCATTTGCTGCACTGCATTTAAATAATTGGGAGTACTATAGACAACTATGAAGTGTACTTTATTAACTGAAACATCCACCACTCAGAAAGGGGAGGTCAGGTTCAGTGACAGCAAAATGTTCTTACAGTGCAACAATTCAATGCTCAGTTCTGCTTCACAACTCAGCTGAAAAATAAAAAGATTAAAGAAAATTGATTTCTGCATTTAGTTCCAGATACTACTATTCAAGCAGTTCCAAAAGATATCTACATCCTGTATGTAGTCAGTCTGGCTCGGCTGAATGCATGTCCTGAAATGACATTATAAAATCTCCATTTGGATAGTGACATCACAGACCTAACAGAAATTTGAAGAGCCTGCCAGGTTTTTTTTTCCTGTGAGGTATTTGGACGGCTATCTGAAATGCCAAGGAGATGCTGATAATAAAGGAGAAAGGATACCTCGGGAACTGATAAAGAGAATCAAGATCGATGCTTGTGCAGTCTTGCACAGCATGTTTCATTTAGTTACTACATGTTCATTTTACTTCCATAATAAACAAAGAAGATGCCCTATCAGTTATGGTGGCCAAACGCAATCAAACCTCCTGACTAGAGTCAAAACAAATGTCACTGTAATTTAATATACTTTGTACACACAGTGGAAAATAAAATAGGCATGAAAATAACATTAAAAACTCCACAACCCTTTTACTGGGACATACAGACCTATTTTAGCAGATCTTCCAGAGGCGAATGAAGGTCTAGTTTCCATCTGAAATGGTTTGAAATAGCAACCAAATGCTGTGCTATGAAGCAGACAAAAAATAAACAGGGAACTTTTGTAATAGTTTGCACATCTCTGTTAATTTGCCCTCAAGCTTGGCTGTGGCCTCCTTTGTACAAATTACAAGTATTTACCTGCACAGAAAATAATGTTTAGATGTTTTCATTTTTTTTTATAACAGTTCATACATTATGTCCCATTGGTATAGGAACACATGGTAACAACAGTTATCAAGTTGGTCAATTACACAAGGCTGCCCTCTGGTGGACATTAGCAAAATCTACCCAGTAAAAATACCAGTTTGATTATGTGTGTTACTGTTGTTGATTATATTGGTTAAAAACAAGATGTCCAGTTAAAATTGGAAGTAGATGAGGAAATGTGAAGAAAACAGGACTGTTACAATAGAAATGACATATCACATAACATATCATATAACATGGGAGTACAATTTTGGGTGTCACATGTTTTGCCACCTTGATGTGTGTTTAATGCTTGAACAACAACTCCTGTGAAAAAAAGCACAGGTAGATAAAATCATCTCTTGTACAATTGTGGTTTTCTTGAAAAGGCATCATGGTCAACAGCATGCAGAAACTGTGTGAAGTTTTTTGTAAAAACTGATACAGGTGCTGACCACTGAGTCCCGTCAGAGGACTATGTTCTTGTCATCTAGAAACATGCACATGCTCATCAGTAAAGTCAGAGGTGATTTAGTCTGAAAATGATGGCTTATTGAGATCTTCCTCTCCATTCCTCTGACACAGGTGTGGACAGCTGTAGGGCTCCCCAGCGTGGCTTTGAAGACCAAACCAGGCTACTTGTCAAGTCACATTCATGAGGCATCACCTGAATGCTGTCCTCATTCAGAGGTGAACCACTTTCTCCTCTCCTGCCACTGTAAATATGCTGCAGCATGTTGTCCTCATGCTGATCTTTATGACCAGCTCCTGGAAAAATGATACAGTATAATCCTCCAGGCCAGGGGTTCCTACTGGGATCAGAGGATCTTTCTAACACCTGCTGGTTGTTGTTCCACCCGAGCCCTCAGTTCCATAAATCAAACCCTTCATTGACTTAATAATAATGAAACGAAATTGAATGGCTTGTTTCCAGCTTTAACCACCATATTGTGTTACTGAAATAAAATCCCAAACTTGTGACTAGAAACAATGTGCAAATATTCATTTGAAGCAGCCTCTTAATTCCAGAAAGGCTTCAATTATCTCATGAAGGTGGGATGGGATGAAAATCAGCAAGCTTGTGGGTCACCAGGACCAGGACTGGGAACCCCTGACCCAGGCAATAAGATTTGGGTTAGTATGAGTTCTTTGTCACAATATACTCCGAACTGTGGCCATCGTTTTCCGTTTCATCACAGGGGTCATAGAACCTTCATACATGAGTGGTCACTGGTCCATTAGCATGCATTTAAGCTCGTACCAGATCAGTCCAGAAGGTGGCAACAAAGACAAGCTAACCACCTTTACTAATGTCTGTATGATATCATGCCACAAGTCAAGTCCTTCCCTTTTTAAGACAATGCATTGTCATCTTACTTTCAAAATACGTTCTGCTTGGTGGGATGAAAGTTTAGCTTAGAGACAAATGACTTCTTGTTTCATCTTGGAGTTCAGCAAATAAGGTAACGTTAGCCGTACCATTCTGGCACTTGAAGTAGTTGTCGCTGGCAAGCCATAGAAAAAGTCTAATGCTAAAATCACAAACCCCGCTGTGATACTGTATCTTATAATATTTATTTTGAAAGTCTATAAATGGAAGCTAAAGCTGTTGCTTTACTTGGATTTAACAAGACTTCACATTAAGCAGGTGCAACTGAATGTGTGACTTTTTCATGTTGCTCTAAATAGACCTTTGGGAAATAATGTGGGCGAACGTTGTGCTTAGCATAATGTGGAAGTGGTGATCATGGATTTAAAATAGGTCTTTTACTGGTGTGAGAGTTAGCTGATGCCAATGTAAATCAGAGGATCTTTCTAATACTGGAAGTAAACCTAAATATATCCTCATACGTTTACACAGGCTGGTTCTGCTCATACTTATTGCACATCAGCAGCCAAACCAGCCATATAAAAACCACAACTCCTGGCCTTCCTTCAGGAGGGAGCTGCAATGCAGGTACAGTGCAAGTACATCTCAACTCATATAGCCATTTCTCAACTGACAGAAGCTATTAAAATAGGTCAACTGTTCCATGTGAGAATATTCCTAGCACGTGTTTCAGTAAGTCTCAAGCTACATTTCACAAAGCATTTAATCTCCATTCTTGAAAAAAAAAAAAGACTTCAAGCCTAACACCTGTGGGTTTTTTTATCAGGTATGATTTTTACAGAAAATCAGCTATCAGGTATCAGTTTTACAGAAAATCTGACACACCTTGTTTTTCTCCCACTAAATTTAAAAACCTATCAGGGATTTTTTTTTTTAATTCAAGTTGGCAAAAGCTTACAGTCTCACAGTTTACAGAAGGCCCAGTGACAACACTGTCACCCATTTAAAGCTGCATCTGGAGTCAGAGACAAAGCCCTTGAAGCTCACTGTAGCATTCGGCCTGCTGCGCAGCTGCAGATGTGTTCTGCTCTGGCTGCCACGGTCTGCACTGCTCTAATTATTAGCAGTCACAGCATGGAATGCCCCCACCCCCCCCAGCAGGAGGTCAAGACATCTTGGCACAGAGGGAAAGCAGGGTGGCAGCCAAGCTTTGTAATCAGCCTGCTCTCTCACAGAGCTCAAGCCACACAGCCCAAACAGACTCCACTTTATTAGTACTTAGGCATTACATCTCCTCCCAAAGTCTCTCCATTCACTGCAAATGAAGAGCCTAACCTCAGCTTCTACAGATCTCATACAGAAGAGCTTGCATATTCTTTATGCCCTGAATTTAAAAATATCTTTAGGCTCTACAGTGACTACAAACATACAGTAGACAAGTGCTAAAACAGTGAATTCTATTTATTCTTGCGTACACAAAGGAAGGCACTCATAAGCAATTTATATATCAGACAGTACATAAAAGCACTGCCAAGGACAGTTCATTCTATACATACGTGTTCCTAAAAATGCCTCAATAAAAACTAAAACAGACACTGACCACTATGCAATAAAAAGCTGGGTGTTTCTTTCTGGTACCATGTCTAGAAAGCCATTCTTTGAACTATAGTAACTATACATACAACATTTAGCCAGCAGCCATATCACTCTGCAACTCACAACTGGCAGCCCACTGAAGCTCAGCAGTTGTGAGCTTAGTCAGTACCTGGATGGGAGATCTCCTGGGAAAACTAAGGTTGCTGCTGGAAGAGGTGTTAGTGGTGCCAGCAGGGGGCGCTCACCCTGTGGTCCATGTGGGTCCTAATGCCCCAGTGTAGTGAAGGACACACTATACTGTAAACAGGGCCGCCCTTCAGATGAGACGTAAAACCAAGGTCCTGATTCTCTGTGGTCATTAAAAATCCCAGAGCGTTTCTCGAGAGTAGGGGTGTAACCCCAGCGTCCTGGCCAAATTTCCCATTGCCTCCTGATAATCCCCCTCTATGAACTGGCTTCATTACTCTGCTCTCCTCCCCACCTGGGATCTGATGTGTGGTGAGCGTTCTGGCGCACTATGGCTGCCGTCACATCATCCAGGTGGTGGAGGGGAGTCCCCATTACCTGTAAAACGCTTTGAGTGGAGCGTCCAGAAAAAGCACTATATAAGTGTAAGCAATTATTATTATTATACAAAGCCATATTCAACACAAAAATTGCATAGGCAATCGTTCCCTCCTATATTCAAGGATTGGATTTACCGTGAACCAGAGAATTCCCTTTTCCATTTTCATACCTTGTTTCCCTCTTGGAAACAGGCTATTATTGATTAGCCCTGTATTTGCTGCAGTACCATACGCTGCTCTATGAGAGACAAAGACAACACTCAGGTCCCATCTGATGCATGTGTGGCCAAGCCACTGACATTCCAGAGTGCTTAGCTTTCGGTGTACCCCCTCCAGGAAGACCTTAGATTCGAACTGGCAGCCTTGAGTTTGCAATCTGCCCTCTAATCAGAGGGATTTTTCATGAAGTGAGCGCTCAGTAATAAGCTGAACATACCCTCAACCCTGATCCTGGCCAATCAACTGTGTCTGGCAAGGCAGACTAGAGCTGTCAACACTGCCACAGGCCGGGATAAACTATTTTTCCAAAGGCAGGATAAGTCAACTAGGATACCAGGAAGTGTAAAGCAGGCTGCACCAATGACATCCTTTTGAAAATCACAATTCCAGCTCAGCAGGGCGCTCGGCAGGGGGTGTCTATTTCTCTTCATGAATGTTTCTCGCTGTAGTCAGGAAAGGGAAAATAGCAGACAAAGGCTTTCTTCCACTCAGTCTAAAACAGTGTTTTACTTCAGGAAATGAAGAAGACTAATAGTGTTTACTCTAAAATGCCAACTCAACAGGACCATCATGCTGAAGTAACCCATCATAAACACAGTTTTATCACCATGCAGGTTAGTATAAACTAACTCACTTGACCATATTACATCTGTTAGACTTCATTTCACTAAACCTGTCTTCAGGTTTGACTTTTGGTTTCGATATAACGCCACCAATACATTTTAGTAATATGGAGCATCTTTCTATTATTAGTATCTTCAGAGGTGAAAGTACCTGTGCATAACTATTCGTCATCAAAATGATGAAATACGCATGACAATTATAATTATGTGAAACAAACTATATCAGATAGTGAACGTACATTGTAATTAAACCTTCAAATATTCAGACTTTACTTGAAGAAAGAATTTAACACAAAATTAATCAACGGGTTAGGATCTTTGCAGGCTGTTTAAATTCCTTGCACCACGTAGGAAGTCACTGTCCCCTTCCCAAACCAGTTCAATATCATGGAAAACACTTTTCTGTACAGTATTTGCCCAAAGTCAAATCCTCTTCCAGTCCTTTTTTGTTCGCAGTATTTCTGCATTAACCCCCTTCAGATTCTTTTCTAGATTTAACCAGGGGGGATAACCAATACCTGGCTATCGATTCTTTATTAGTCTTACATTTTTAAGCACGCGTTCTGATCAAGTGATCAAAGCAGACTCAAATGCCATACCAACTTCCAAATAATCTGTTCCTTAAATATATCTTTCTATCTTTAATAATTCATTATATGCAATTAGATATTTTGTTCGTTAGACCAGGGTCATTAATCTAGGTTGACACTACTCTCTAGCTCATTTAATGGCACAGCATCAACCTTCTCACTTGCTGAAGACTAGTGAGCTGTAACCATATCCCTCCTGGAATTTGCCCTGGGTGATGTTCAACTTTACTGTATTTCATACTGTAGATCAAAAACATATTTTGTAATACTGGGTTGGGCTGCTCAGTACAGTAAGCCCTGGAATTTGGAGGGCGTACGATATGATACACCTGAAGAAGGCTCCACAGCTGAAACGTTGTTTTCTCTCTTCTCTTTTCAGCATGGAATAAACCTGTTACTTGTTCCATTTGATATGATATGCAGCTCTGAAGGTGCTCTCTGAGCTTTAGTGCTGAGTTCTACTGTACCAACCAAGGCAAAAGATGCTGTTAAACCACAATCAGTTATTTTTAATGTCATCTGCTGTGCCCAGGCTCCTGCCCTTGAGACCTTAGAATTCCAGGTTTTTGCCTCGTTTCAGACAACGTGAATAGATTGACTTTCAGCTCCTCCAATTACCTTGCTCTCGCTGCTGGTCTTTCTGCTCCATAGACACCAGCGCAGAGAAGTGTGCTTGGTCGTAGGCCAGGACCAGTGGGGAGCAGTGACAGCGATTTGGAGGGACTTCCAGCGGTAAATAAATTCCCCCGAATGGAATAGGGGCGAATGCTGCAAAGTCACAGAAAAGCAAAATCAGTAATAAAATCTTTCCATGCAAAGCAGATGTACAAATTCATAATTTCGTAATCCCAGTTTTTCCCCTACTATATATGGTAATGAATTTAAGAAGGAATCAGATGTTCTTATCTTTCTCCCTTAATTATTTTTAATCTTGGCTTTCCCAGTTCTAATCTTTTGCCCTACTTAACTTTCAGTATGCATGACAAGGAAGTGGCTTTAAGAAAACGCAGAATGTTACAGAAGCCCTCCTTCCATAGATCAAGAAGACGATTCAATCACAAGCTCTAACTGGAGTTCGTTAATCTCCAAGTTAGTCGTTTAAAAAGGAGGAGGTTCTGGGCATGTTTTTGCCCCAAAAAACCTAAAGGACAGGATTCGGTTGCTGTCTCCTGACAGAGGTATTTCTCAACATATGTTTCTTGGAAATCATCTCACACAATGAGGAAACCTTTCGGACGTATTGCTCATGTAAGGATGACTGCGAGCATGAGTTTTTCCAGGACCCGTTGAAAAAGTCAGGGCCTTGCCTTCGCCTCCAGAATCTCTCAGCATTGTGTCTGCCACCACCACGATGGGCCGCCGAAGGACATGAGCCAACACAAACACATGGAACTCCTCCAGGCTTTCATACACAGGATCCTCTGCATTGTCCACGCTGTGGAACACAGAAAACTGTTAGAACCACTCGAAAAGGCTTCCAAGCCAAATTAACTGGACATTCTGTGCCTTTTCACAGAGATGGCTCAAGCAGTGCATAATTTACAACTGCCCTCTGATTACCTCAGTTGCTACTAAAGCTCCTCATTGAGGTTGATTTCAAAGAGCGGTTTGTAAAGCAGGGATATTTTATATTGATGCAGCTGCATTAATCATAACCTTGCAATAGGACCAACATATACTTTGTCCTTTAAAGCCACATTTGTGTGTTTTAACTCTTGCCACTCTTGAACACCAGGCACACCAGCCAAGTACACCGTGATTAATAGACTTTCTGTTAATGTGCTTCCACCTAAGGTTAATTAAGAATTATTTTAAAGCAGAGATTCCTCTATTCCCATATTAATATGCCTGTCACATACAGTACAAAAGGAAGAAATGCTGTGCTGCCATTCCCTAAAACTTTCTCAATGAGACGTCTGTTGCATGCTTGTACCCCAACAGGCACATTAAATGGTTTCCCCATTTCATTTTTAATAAAACGACATATGTAAAGCTAAAAAAACAGGCATTGAATCAAGATTTCTCCAAGTTCTTTAACAGCGGGGTTTCCTGGAAGATAATGTTGAATGCTGTGTTCAATTTTAAAAAAGTAATGAGACCGAGGGGAAGATAAGCAGCATTTACAGAGTTCAGTGGCGTTTCCAGCATTATAACCAGTGACACCCGTAGTTCTGAAGTATTAAAAATCTGTAACGCCAAAACCTGAAATACTAAACATATTCTTCTATCGTGACAAGCCTTTCTTTATGTTTTTCTTTTTTTCTCTTGAAGTGTACAGACCCATCTGTCTTCTGAGGCTTATACAGTCCTTATTGCCACTTACAGGGAAGGTAATCACCAGAGAGCACGCGGTGTAAAATGAATGAGTTGTCCTCAGGAGCTGCTGCTGAGACTCCTGCCCTGAAACCTTGCAGACTGCAGCAGTGAACCCATGAGAGCAATGAGCCCTGCACACTGCACCCTTAACGCACATTTAAAGAGGGAGAAAAACACCAGTATCCACATGCAGGCAGCCTACAGATGCAGACAGATGACTAGCCAGAAGCAAACCTTCAGCCATGCGATCCTTCTTTCTGCTCTTCATTTTTCCTAACTGCTCCCTTACACTGGGGTAAGGCAAAGCGTCAATTGTGACAAAACTCAAACCTCTCCATGTTACATTTGAATACAGCTATAATGTGTACTGCATTCTTCTTGTGCTTTCAAATCGTAGCCATGCTTTCTGAGAGTTAGTGGATTAATACAATTATATAAATAAAATTAATATGAGTTGCATCTGCCAGTGAAATGAACTCAGTAAAATAAGTAAGTAAAAACCACACTTAACAAGAAAGACAGCTATTTGGCAGCAAGCTTCTTTTCAGGGGTTGATATGAAACCACAGATGTTTATGTAATGTGAGGCTTGCGTGTAATACAGCCTTGCTTTTAAATGCTGCTATTTAGATTGTGGCTGTAACGCTCCATCTCAGATTGGCCTAGAAGCAACCAAAATCAACATGAGCTCGTTCATGCAGGCTAAAGTCTTGAAAATTTGTTCCCTCAGTTTTACAGGCCACAATTAAAAACTTTCAATTTTTGCCCTTAATCGTGTATAAGATAAGCAGAGATCATAAGCCACTTTTGGATAGCTACAGGAAAATATATTTTCTAATACCTCTGAAATGTGAAATGATCTACTCCCTGACATATTATTTTATTTTTTATACATATTCAGCTCTGTTGCACCTACTGTAATTTAATTGGAGCCGTGGCTAAGTGCCACAACCAATTCACAGTTTATCTGGCAATATGGAGGAGATGTTCTGCGGAGAAAAGAAAGACTGGTCTTGTATGGGTGTTTATACTGTAAAGATGTATATATAGTTACAGAAGCACAGCATTTAATGAAGAACGGTGTTTGAGTTGACTGCAGTAAATTAAACATCTCTAGTTGAAAATTTCAGTGAGATTCATGTTCATTTGTCTCTCATGTCACACTTATAAGTACAAAACGCATCCTCTATCCCCCTAATCAACTGACCTTCTTACTGTATGTTATTAATCTCTTGGTCTGACTTTCAGCAGATTATTGGTATATTTTTGTTTTTAATGAGAAATGGTTTAATATTTTAAATTAACCCAGCACTAACGAACAAGACAATGTTGTCCTACACAGACAGATGTGACAATGTTTCACTAACCACATTTGTAAAAAGATAACAGTAATGAAAAATGTCTAGAGGTCACAGGAAAAGCACATTTGTCTTAAATGACACCCACACAAGAACCCAGCTGAACAAGAAAGATAAGTGCAGCTGTGAAGTGTCGTAGGGCCTTATTCTCTTATAGTACACCCAGTTATTTTTACTTCACTGTTTCCCTATCTACACTATGCTTTTAACTTTCCTCACAAAAATCGATTCAGATCCAAAGAGACAGAAATAGACACAAGACCAGCTTCCGACATTCCTACAGAGAGACCAAGGTGCTATAGCATGCTTTTAACATTTGAAGGTACAATTTATTTTTCCAATTATGCTAAAAGGGGTAAAATGAAGCAATTCCACCACAATACTACAGTTTTGTTTTTAGAGTGCTCATTTAATGCAGTGGTTTAATATGGACTTTTATTTGGACAAAGCTAAATGAGGGTCTTTCATACCATCCAACATATGGCATTAACAGGATACAGAATACTGTTCTGCTGTCAATTAAATTTCACTGTAAAGCCTTTGCAATTTTACAAAAACATGTAGCTTAAAAAACACATTTACAAGAAGCCAGAGTATCAGCTCCACCATAATGTTTTTTTGGCACATCAATGAATATATTCATCACTTTATTAATATTTGTGGGAAAAATAATTCTAAAGATCCCAAAGCATGACTCTTACATAAACATTTAGTGTTGAACTAACCTACATCTTTGAAATGATGTCGGACTGTTTAAATGCTGAGTTGAAAACAACACCTTTAACTCAATACCAGCAGATTTCAAACAAGTCAGATATCTAATGGAAATCTGATACAAGAACAACTTCTCAAAATGTAAAAGGAATTAGACCAGAAGAGTGCTCTAAATATAAGAGATTTCCATTGAGTGCTAAGACTTTTTAAATAGAAGCAGCCACTGAAAAATATTTTAGGTTTCAGTTCTCAGATTGAATTTTATCAGGCGGTTTATATGTTGACTTCAAAGGAGTCTCAGTATTTCACAAGTAAAGTACTGTATATCTCTGAACCTAAAAATATGTGGTACAGTATATGGTAAAATGAAAAATGTATATTGTATGTTTGTAATCAAGAAGGTTAAATATATCAGCATGTAGGGCAAGGTTGTTATTTCCTGCCTGGGGTGGGAAACAGAAAGGTGATGAGATTTTCTACACAAGATGCTTGTGAAGTTTCCTTTAAAGGAATTCATGAAAACATGAACTTTCCTTTGAAGCATTTCCTGTTATGTGTTCCATACACTGTGCAGGTTAATACTATATTCAGAATCCTATTAATAACAGTAGACTAAGAAAAGGGAAAATAACCAAAAACTCTACCGGCAGTATGTTCAATATTGACGCTCACATACTTGAAGAATATAAAGAAAATTCAGCCAATAGCCGTTTACAGGTAAACCTTTAAAATGTGTGTTCTATTTGTGAATGTACACAAGGAACAGGGTTTATGATGTGTATCTTGTGAAAGGAAGGGCCCACTATTGGCATGCAAGTTGCAGTTGATGGCTTACAGCTTATGAAGCATTCAGAATCATTTGGGAAATATTCCTTTCCTCCACTAAAAATTCCACTTTGGTCTTCATCGTTTTAGCTTTGAACAGCTCTCTCCACAGAAAGAAACCTACTGTAGGTTCTCAGATGGACGGTCTTGTGCTGCAGCTCCCTTGTAATGAATTAACAAGTCTGGAAAGGTCAGAGCTTTTAATTGTGCTCCCCAAATCCTACACCGAAACTCTTAATCTCCGTTGACCTTTAATAAATGTAGTAATATGTCTCCATCAAGAAGTATTTACCAAACCTGTGATGTTAGCATGAATTTTTTCCCTCCGCCAATGCACCCTCTTTGACAGTTCAGCTGAAAAAAGCCATTAATCAAATGCACGTTCTGAAAGGTCTGATTGTCTCAGCAACCGGAGGCCTGTAATGACCGTCAATCACTGAGTGGTTTCAGTCTGTGTGCCTTTTCCCTGTACAATCCTTTTTTTATTTTTCCCTCGTTCACATCTTTACCAATTTTGCTACCTGAAAACCACCCACAGATTCAATTCAGCCTTCTTCCTGTGTTTTAAGTTTAAGATTAATTAAAAAGCCATGTAACATTTCCTCAAGTGCTACCACAACTTCAAAGCATGCATTATTGCTTCCTTTAACTATTGGCATATGCTCATTCACGCCTGTTACACCTCTACTGAACTATGCAGTTTCCCCTCATTAACATGGCTAGGTAAAGCACTTGAGATGGTGCTCACAAGGGCTGTATTCAAAGAGTCAAAGCTTTGAGGGTGTGCTAGGTATTTACAAAGTATCGGGCAGACCATAAAATGGAATAGTAACCTTATTTAAGTACGGTAAACCCTTGCTATACGAGCAACTGCTACACGGTTTCGTTTATAAGAGAGGTAGTAATTCCTACCTGCTTTTTCATTTAACAAGCAGACTCGAACTCCTACGAACTGGGCTCTCGTAAAGTATTGCTGAGATTCTTCTATTCTCACATCTTCCCGGATGAAGAATTTACTTTTTATTTTGTATTAACTTTGTTTTTGTTTTTTAAACGCTAGTATGTGTTAATAGCATACAGTACAGGACAGCACTAATATTTATGCATTTGATAACCACTGTAACAGTGTAATTGCTGTACCATGCTGTAAATGAGCAGGAATGTTGTTGTTACTTATTGTTTATACAGTACATCTATTAATTGGCTACTGACGTCAAGCATGTCACTTGAATAACTGCCCTGGAATGTTATTGTTTTCATATATAGGTACCGTTCTGTGCTGTATTAAGGTGAAGTTTGTGAAGTCGCTTGTAACACGAGAAATAACGGGAAATTTAATTTTACGTTAGATTTTTGGTCACTTTACGAGCAGTTGTCGAGGAACAACGTCATTCTCGAATAATGAGGGATTACAGTATTTAAAAAAAACTTGAATGTTTCACTCATTGTATATACATATCCTGCAAAGGTAAAGGGTCGGAAAACAATTTGAAACGAACTAAATTAGCTTAAAAATAAAACAATATGTCTACCAATTCAAACCTGTATTTACAGTGCCTTGCGAAAGTATTCGGCCCCCTTGAACTTTTCAACCTTTTGCCACATTTCAGGCTTCAAACATAAAGATATAAATTTTTTATT